TTTACATTAATTAAAATGATAAAAAAAAAAGATTTTCGTTAAATTTAATTATCACATTTATCAGATATTTCGAATTATGTGGAAATATTGATTGATAAAGAGGAAAATAAACTTTTGTTGAAAATATGAAAATTATAAAATGGAACGAATATGTGTGATTGCTTTTATTGTCGTTCCCTTTTTTTTGTTTCCATTTTGAACACTTTAAACTTCGAATATAATTCATTCTCATATTTTGCACTTTTTAAAATGATAAAGAAGTAGAGAGAGAGAGAGAGAGAGAAAAAAAAGAGAGAGAGATTTAAAAGATTCATAAAATTCAACATTTAAAATTCATATCATATTTCCTTTAATTTTGAATATAATTTATTACAATTTATATAATTATAAATCATATAAATATTTTTTGCGATAAATGAATCAGTTGTTAAGAGAGAATAATCATATTTTGCTTGTTTTTCAACATTTTTCATATTTAGTGAATTTCATATTTTTACTTTTTTGTTGTTGTTTATGTTGTTGTTCTTTATTTATAGGTTGTTTACCTTAGTTTTTCTAATGAAATATGTTAACCTATTTATATGTTTTTTAGGGATGATAATAATTTAAACAATTTTAAGTTAAATAAACTATATTATAAACAGAAATTTCATTTAATAGAACGAATCACTTTGTAAAATATGCATTAACTTCTGTGGAACTTGGTTAATCTTAATTTATTGATTAAGTGATTTTAATCTACCGAATCTTCTATTTATTAAATGATTAAAATCTACAGATATCTTTCTTATAACTGATATGACTAAGCAATCTCTTCTATCATTATCATTTTATCCTAATCAGTTATATATAGTGTTTTAAATGAAATTGCTGATTTGATAACAATCATTATTTTTGGAAAAGATTATTTCTTTTTACAATGAATTTATCAATTTAAACAATAGTTAGTAATTGAAAAATTTAGAATAAATAAAGAAGATTCTGCTATATTTATTCAGAAATTCACGAAAATTTCTACTTAATTAATCATACCTGACGTGGATTCAGAAGATTCACAAAAACGCGCATTCAAAAATTACAACTTCTGAATCCACGCCAGCGTGATATGAAATTAATGTATGAAATAAGTTTGATAATTTATCGAAATATCAATATTCGCTTATATTTTACTGCAAACTTTGGAAAATTATTGTAATTTGAATTAATCGAAATATTAATTTTCTTATTAAAATCAATAGGAAGTATTGAGAGGATATCATAGTGATATGATAACATTTTCTTTTCTTTCTCTGTATATTAGTGATGAATGGAAAACTAATTTTATAAGCAAATTATTACCATCAATGCTGTCTGTTTATAAAATTCTACTCTATTTCCAGCTAACTAAAATTTTCATCATTTATTATTGACAGTAATTTAGTCTTTAAAACTTTAAGACTATTTATTTGGAAGAATAATGAAGTCAGGTATAATGTTTGAGGATGGTTAATAAATGCAAATTCTAAATTCGCATAATTTCGATAGTGGAATATCTGAAATGATATAGTGATGTGATACTCAATGATAAATGATTATTAGCATCAATGCTTGGAAAAAGTTTATATCAATCATAGAATTCCACCCCCTTCTTTACTTATCACATATTATTACTTATCTTTGTTGTGTGTACGTACGTGTATGTGTACGTGTATGTGTATGTGTATGTGTATGTGTATGTGTATGTGTATGTGTATGTGTACGTGTATGTGTATGTGTATGTGTATGTGTATGTGTATGGTATGTGTATGTGTATGTGTATGTGTATGTGTATGTGTATGTGTATGTATATATATGTGTGTGTGTGTATGCTATCCCATTTCGGTAATAAACAACAGAAAGCATCTATAAGAACAGTAGTAAAAGTTGCAGCTACAATTCCATTCATTTAGCATAATTACTCGGAGGATATTTGATATTTTTTTGTTGACGAAATTTATGGGCCATATTTTAGAAGTAAAAAGAAAGTATAGCAGTAATAAAAGACAATTCATTTTCTTGGTTTAGCAATACTGAAATTAAAAAGCAAACATATATGATGTAATAGTTGAATGGATACACATCATATCACAGCATATCGCACGACATTTACATTCAGAAGGAATAGGTACATTTAAAGTAATACAAATTATTATAAAGCATGCATGAATTAATTCTAGCCAGATTGGATATACCAATCAATATGCGTGGTACTTTAACATCTCTTAACGATAAAATAACGATAAAAGTGATTATTTGATGAACATGGCTTCTTCCACCAAATCTTTTTGCTTGGTAGTTGTGTAAAGATAATGTTGAAGCAATATTCAACAGCTTTGTATTTAAATAGCAGAATTATTTCACCAATCCTAAATTTACACAAGTTTTTGAAGGGATGTGATTTAAAATTTGTACTGTTTTAACTCTCAAAAACAGAAAGTTTGTCGTAAAATAGAATGTTTTTTTTTTTGAGTAATTTTTAGAGACAAATATGATTGGAATCAAATTTTCTTTTGTTGAAACAGAGGTTAAAGTTGATCAATGTTATTCAACAATAACAGAAATATTGAAGAAATAGTGGTGGAGAAGCGGTCAATGTGAACTTATAACCTTCAGATTATAAGACTGATCTTATCAACTCCTCTCCATGTATATTGATAACAAATATTGTTTAAAGCTTTATAAAGCTGATAACAGTTTGTCGTTTGATAGCCAAAACCGGAGAATGAATTTCCGGTTATTTAATCTAGTAAAGATAAGTTTGTAACGTAATGAAAAAAAAGATATGCGAAATTAGCCAAATGATTGATCACATTTAAAATTATAACATTATAATTTATCAATTTTAATTTATACGATGAATCATCATACAAAATTATTTTATTTTATTATTTAAATATATTTATTATGAATTATTACGAGTTTCACGACAAAATTCAGTATGTACTCTCTAATTTTAATTCATTTCACTTTGTTAGCTTTGATGCATCCATCATTTATCGTTGAAGAAATATGACAATTTCTCATTGAGATTATTTATCACTTCAAATTTTACAAATGTAAAGCCATCATATATTTACAGAACAGTTGCTTTTTATAAAATTTTCTGTCTTACGTCAACAAAAATTGATAGTGAAGTTAAATGAAACTAAAAGTTATAACTTTCTAATTTCAAACCTAAAACAATTTCCTCACCTTTAATTTGTTACCATTTCATCACTTTAACATACCAAATTAATTTCTTTGATTTTGTTTACAATTTCTTTTTCAGCTTATGAAAAGTTTAATTTTAACTTTAGTAGTAATGCAATATCTTTAAGCTTACTTATTAAATACCAAAATTTTTTATTTTATATTTTATAGCCTCCTAATAGTTCGTTTTCAGCAAAAATACAAAAAAAATTGTTGATAAATTATCCATAGTGTAAAATTAGCTACCCTGTTATGTTTATCAAAAATGTTCCTAATAGAGAATAGAACATTACAAATTTTTATCAAATCACAGAGAGGGGAAAAAAGTTATATAAATAATGAAGTTGGAAAATGATTGAGACGAAGTGTTTATCTACGACATTCGTAGTATTGGTTGACTGATGATAGAAATTGTGGTGATTTAAGAAAACTTAAAATAAGCTTAATTACGAGAGAAAAATAGGGCTGAAAAAAATTATGCTATTATATGTATAATTTCTCTCAGCATGTGATAAATCAAATCAGCTTATATCATATATTTAAAGCTTCAAAAGAATGTCCTTGTTTACTTACTTTATCACTTTCTTCATTACTTTAAATAATATCGATGATATAGATTTATTAATAAGTAATATGCATTATAATATATTGATTTATTAATAAATAATATAAACTGTAATATAATATAATATAGATTTATTAACAAATAGTGTACAATATAATATAATGATTTGTTAATAAATAACACACATTTTAATTAATGTGAAATAAATGTAATAAATTTAAGGATAGTAGCCAGTTGAATCTATAAGGACCTTCTTTTCCCCGTATTTTAATTATGATAGTATAGTAAACAAAATTTTCAAAAATTTTCAACTATTCATTTATATTTAAGATAAAAACAAAATATCAAAATTAATTGAAACAATAAAACATATGAGTTTTTTCCAAATTGAAAAGTTCTAATACAAAAATAAATTCTATTGAAATTTTAAGATGACTTCTACTGCAAGCATGAACATTTAGTAAATTAATTTTAAAACATTCTAATTAATCAATTAATCGATCAAATCAACCATACTCCATTTCTATTCATTTACTATTCAACGAAATAATCAATTTCCTGAATAAAATCGATAATTCTCATAAAATATCTTTTACTAATCTCGCAGGGAATTTTTGTTTAGCAATTCATTCATTCAAACTTTACAAGCGGAAAATTGAAAAATGCTAAAAGAATGCTTCAAACTTTTTCAACGATTTTCATTCTTAAGAATATTTCCAATTACAAAAAATTTTTCAAACAATAAGGAAAAGAATTTTTTAGATAGTAAGAAATTGATTATACATTTTTTACATTTCTTCGTTAATACTTTTGTTTTCACATTTATCATTTTGATGGATTCGGAAAACTTCAAAATACAAATTTATGAAATTTTCTAAAAGTCCTATATATTTATATGTATGCTTTTTCATTTTATTGCTTACTTATAAATTATCATAATTTTCCTTTTGATGTTAGCAATTTTGTTGTTATAAATAAATAATATATTTCTTTGTTTTTTAATTTTCTAATTTATAATAATTTCAGGAACGGATACGGAAATAATTAAACATTATGATGTGGCAACAGCACGGCCTGATTTGAACATTGTATCATTTTATCTATTATTCTTTCAATATTACTTATGAATTTTTTTTAATTAGTATAAACTTTAATTACTATATAAACAAAATTTTCTATTTGAATTTATATAAAAGAACAATATTCGAATAACATTATATATGATAATATGCAAATGAATATGTATAATAAGGTAATTGTTTTAACGGAAATTTAAACATTGCATAATTCACCTATTACTGGTGAGAGTAGAGATCGATGATCAAAAAATATATTAGTAGAATAAATGATCATTAATGTTATGGTGTTTACGGCATTCATAAAATTCAGACAGTACATTTGCATTTTGATTTTACTTCATCTGAAATCGTATTTGGAATTAATTCAATGTAAAAAGAAAGAAGGAATACATGATTTCTTATTTTTAAAATTTAACTATTCAAAAGAAAACAAATAATAATTTCGGGAAAGGAATGATGAATTTCAGATTTTACCGGAGCAGCATTTTACGGCTGGTGAATTACGAGCTCTTTATAGGACATTTAAGGATATGTTACCCATTTGTCGAAATTCATTCCGTGATCTATATGCTAATATTTTTCCTCATGGTGATGCGGAACAGTTTGCTGATTTGATATTTGATGGTATCGTGCGCGAGCGCGCCGAATTTGTGACATTTACGGTGATTTACTTATCGTGTAGATGATCATTTCCGTTTTGGAAACACAACATGTTCCATTCAGACTTTTAATTGCAGGACTTCATCAAGACATACTCGATTCTATTAAAGGGGACAATGGAGGAAAAACTAAATTGGATGTACAAGATATACGATCCCGAAAGTACCGGTAAAATCGGATGGGAACGAATTTTTAGGATTATCACTGCTACTGATGATTTAATTGGTTAGACTACGAAAATAAAGTGGAGAAAATCTTTCCGTGAATTCGGAAAAAGATAAATTTGAAACGCCTTTGCAGCGTACTGCTTTCATACAAAATAACATAACTCAGCAGTTTGTCTTTAGCAGTTAGAAAGTGATACTGAAAAGTAAATTACAAAATGGCAATAGTACCAAAAACTCAAATTCAGGAATCAGAGCAATACCGATAATATCACCGGCTCAACGAGTAGAACAAGCTAGACAAATCGTGCAGGTATACATGCATTGCTACGCATTTACTGCTAGTTTTCTTTAATTTTGTGAAATATCTTTTAAAAGAAGATTCAATTTTCGTTTCAAATACTGGACGACGAAAATAGTTGATCATCCTGAAACACTACTAACAAGCAACTATCGATCTACTTCAGGTTAGGAAAAGATTTTGCATTTTTAATTTTCTGATGTTTGAATTCCTGAATTTCAGAAATTTGACCATGAAAATAAAGGATGGATATCACGGGAAGATTTCATGGCGATGTGCAGCCAAGACGAATGTATTCTTCAGTCCATTTCAGCACTTTGCACAGCAATATGGTAAAATAGTGCGATGGAAATGGTATGTCAGGAAAATAAAAATGAAATATCAAATATTTGCAAGCATCACATTGTTGAAGATAAGTACATCTTAAAAAAAGTGAGAGATGAAAGAATCTTCACAAACAAAAGTTCAGTCAAGTTTCTAGATCAAATGACAAAATATTCCCGTTTTACCGCTTATGAATATCAAGAACTTTATCAATTACGGAATTATGTGAAAAGCGAAGAATAAAATCTTATTTAATAATCAAAATTTTGAATCACCAGGGAGAGCTTATTTCATCCATTATCGTGTCCTTTTATCCAATACATTTGAAGTTTATGGTTCAAAACATCACAATCTATGTATTGCCCTTTTTGCTGTCCTTTAGAATCATGAGCAACTTCTTCTTTGCAGTCGACGCCGTTGCGTTTTCAGTGTCTTTCGTCAACTACAAATATCATCATTGTCCGTAGCACATTGGTAACCAAACACTTATTCAGATCAGTCCGATGATTGTTAGTATATTGTCAACTATACAAAATTTTCACTTATTTAGTATCCTGTTAACAAATGCTCAGCTCAATTATTTCGTCTCTTATATCATAAGCATGACGACGAAATATTATTAAAGTAAAGTATCATATTATTAAAGTATCATACGACGCCTGGCTGTACCCCTAAAATATAATACACAATGGAAAAACGTCAATGAACATCACTGAGGAAATTCTGCATTTACCGTTTCGTAAAACCGAGCTCTTGCATCTGCGATATTCTCTTTGGGTATCAAAGAATACTTGAATCTAAAAAGAATTTATAAGACATAAAAGTACCAATCAATCCAATCTTCAGAACATCTTTATATTTTTATCTTTATATTAGACAGAATGAGACAGAAAAAATATTGTGTTGCATACTTTTCCTGCTCAATTCTTAATTCCTTTTCCTTGGTTTTGATTTTTTGCAAAAGAGCGAATCGCTCTTCTGACACCATTGTACTCAAATTAAAAACACTGCTGGAACTTATGTCCTGAAATTCAGAAAGCGTGTAAAAGGACGATAGGGCATGTTACAAATTTCTGAAACCTCAAAAGATTTTTAAAGAATTCTAGAGAAGCCAAAAAATTAAATCTGTCTTTTACATTCTCATTTTACATTTATATTTTACATTCATTTTCCACTACTAATCATAAAATAAGAAATGTATTATTCAAATACACCTGCTTTTTGTTTTCTTCATCCACTACCAAATCAAATGATTCGGCTTCCGAAATGCTGGCATTAAGCGTACTAATTTCGTCCTGAAACAAAAACAAATCACCAAGAACTAAAGAGGTTTAAAAAACAGAAAAGGAAGATTCCAATAATGTACTAACCCAATCAGCAGTGGATAATGACTTGTCCGTTTCGTAGTTCCCGAATTTCTACAAAACAAAATTCCGAAATCATTAAAAAATAAATGGAGTGATAAAAGGATAAAGTTATATCAATATTTCATGTGATTTACAACCATTTTTAAAAGTCCGTCAGAATATTTATGCTTTTCCTGAGATTTTGTCAAGTCCTTAAAATTGTTAATTCAAGACAAAAGATTTCCTTGAAAATTTTATGTTAAAGTTTGGAGTAAGAGAGACGAGACGAAATGTACCGATGTGTATTCGCTCTGTAGTTCTGTAAGTTCTGCCGCAATTGTTAATTTTCTATCTGGCACAATAGCAAAGAGTCGTCCAGAACTAAAAAAATTACTAATTACGCTCACTGACTCAGTCAAAAGCTATTAGTACTACTGCATACCTACCTATTCTCGAAATTTTCATCACAGAGCAGAGGTTGAAAATCAACAAAAATTTCTCCATCGATCCGCTGCCCTAAAATCATTCAAGTGCAATAAAAAATTGCGCTAAAAATTTATGCAAAAATCAGCTATTTTGAAACTAAACAAACAACCAAATGAACTTTTTCTAATGAATATTATCCTCTGTTACTTGTCAGATGATACTGTTTAGCGTAATCATTCCGCCATCATAACATCTGTGGAAGCCACACCTTACCGTGACTAGCAAAACCATTTTACCAAAATACTGAAAACTAAACTCAATGCGCTTTTACACGAAGATGTAGAAATGCAGTTGAGCTTGTCTTCAATGTTACATTTATTAATGAAAGCTTACAAATTTTCTGGATGAAATATCCCGTAGCATCAAAACATTCACAATCAGTGAAGAGAATAACACTTTCACCATGGCGCACAAAACAGAACATATTGTTTGGTTCGTTGCTATATAATATGGATTGTTCGCCAACAATGTCTTGCGATGTTCCCTCTTTCCTGCAAGCCTCATGTAAATCAAATGAAATGGCACGGGAATTACGAAAGAATATTCTGGATTAGATTTGAACTCACGTAAATATGAAATTTTGAGCGAAGGCAGCTTCGACAAAGAGATTTTTCATGTCAACCAACGATCTTTTATGTGTTTCCATCGCTGAAGCTTCTAAGACATCCGGAAATTTAGAAATAATATTGATAATCGCCATAGAAATTTCACCGTAAGGATACTTATTCTGAAAAGTGGGTTGTTTCACCTCGATGAAACAGAAATAGTATGGCTTCAACTAGTCTTGAGGAGAGATGATCCACTCTGAACAAGAGTACCTGTGCAACTGCTCTCTCTATATCAGTGATATCAATGAATTCAATACTCACAACGTCGATTGAGCTGGCTTTTTTGTTGATGGTACTCAATTAAATTACAGAAAAAACAAAAAAGCAAACTAATTGGACGAATTCATCCTTCAAAATGATCTCGTTACAATATTTGAATACAGATTGTATATCTCCGGCTCCAAGCCAGCCGTAGACTTCACTGAAAATTTGTCCATTATTTAAATTAGATATTTTTAAACAATTTACAAATATGCTATCACATTCCATTACTATCCATTCTTTTTCTCTCATAAATGCTTGTAAATTTTTATACATTAATTTAAAAATGTTAAGTGGGCAAACTATTGAACAGCAACTGAACGCAAATGAACATATATAAATATGCCGCAAGTAGTTAATTTCAAGAATTTACGGAAACATCCCTAATAATCCACGAAACATATTTAACAGTCAATTTGAAGAACTTATGAAATATATTAAGCAAACTTTCATACTGACATCCAATTTTTGAAAATTTTTAATTTACATTACTTACTCCTTCTTCATCATATTAGCTTTGCTTACTCGCCTGACATTTGCATGTGCTCCAATTATTGATAAGAGTTCGGAAACATTCTCTGGAAGAATATATGCATTTAAAATTAGAAAGAAAAAAAGAAAGAAGTTTTTTGATTAAATTCATTTCGCATTCAGAACTGCAGATAACTGCTCATTACCATATTCTTTCATAATAGCGATAGTTTTTAATTGCAAATCATTTGCTCACAACGGTATTAGCTTTATTAGCTTAGAAATTATGACAATAAGAGTGGAAATTTTACGTCGTGATGGAATAATCGGTTGGAATTGCGGGATAATTGTTGAAATAGCATCTCTTCTAGTCTTTGAAATCTGTCTCGTCTTCCTCTTCTTCTTTGGCATTTCTTGAAATATCACTCAATGAAATTAAATTTCGATTGTACAACTTTTATACGCGCCAAAACGAATGCCATACAGTCCAATACGCAAATTCTCATCCCATCTGTGATAATATATGAAGAGAATAAAGAATTAGTGGTAATTGTAAATAAGGGTAGATGACAATGGGCGACGAAATATATTTGCTTAAGAAATAATTATCAGATTGATATATAAGATGAAAAGAGAATGAGAAAGAAAGAGAATAAATGATTGAAATAGAAAAACTAAAATATTGAATACACTGAAAAGAAATTATTGATTACACTAAAATATTGAATATACTGAAAAGAAGAATTTTTCAAATTAATGCTTTTAAAGCTATATTATGCTTCTGTTAAAGACAATTGATAATGCCAACTTTTTCTAGACAGAAATGAACATACTATGACAACATATTTTTAACTTTCCGGTCAAACATGGAACTGCATAATTACAACTGTAATTATAATTTTCTTGTGAGATGAATGAATTCAGTCTGGCAAGATATAAAATTGTATTACATTTCTCAATTGGAGGGAGTGAAATTCCGTTCCAGCATAGATTGTATTATATTTTTAATATTCAACTAATATTGTATAAATTTGGAGATAATTAAGCAATTTTATTAAAAAGTTTTTTGCATGAATTTCAAAAGATTTCATCATTTTTTTAGGTCAGTAAAGATCGATTGAAAAGAGATGAGGTCAGAGGTCAACTGACAAATTTTTATGTATGTGTTGTTGTTGCTCTGATATTTCAGTCGATATATCTGAATGCGATTCAACTGCTCTGTCCAACAAATATTCGTGCATTTTTTAGTATCCAATGTTAGCCATTTCATAGGGAAACAAAAAATTCAACAAATTTTCGTGTTTTGCCAATTTTTTGAGCCAAATGTTTTGTATGCTAATTTTACTTGTCAATAAAAAATTACTTTAATCATACTTGTATCTAAGCTAAACTTCACTTTACACAAATTATTTCAGCAAGAATGGCTTGCTTCATTCAGTTCGTTCAATTTCAAAAAATGCAATTAATAGGAAATGATTTGGAATTTTCTGTATTTCGATTATTCTTCAGAAATAATGCCACCAATTAAAAATCCAATTATTGATTTTGCAATTTTTAATCCAATCATTTTTCTAACTAAATGATTTGTTATATATTTAAGGTAATCTGAACGTATTAAATTTTTTTTGGAGTAACTGAAATTTTCGATTATCAATTTTGCCAACTGATGCAAAATGAAAATTTATAGTTTTGCTAAACATTTCGAATTAATTAATAGAAACTAACAAACGGATTATTTGATTAACGTGTAATTGTTTTAATTGAGAATTTTTAAAATTTCAATTATTTGAAAATCTGACAAATTTTATTAGTAAAATTTCATAAGCGTTTAACTTCTATAAATTTGAACTTTTATAAACATAAACTTCTAAAATTCTACCAGCGCTTATTTTATTAGTAAACTATTTTATTCGCTATCAGATATTAAACGTTCCAATAATCATTCAGAATGTTGCGATTTTGGTTTGCGATCTTTCTTTTCTTCTCGATAATTATTCATATAATCAATACAAATGGAGATGAACATATGGTGCAGTCAACAGCTGTACGCGGTAAACTTATTTGCGGCCAAGAACCAGCAATTGGTGTTAGGGTAAAATTGTTCGAACAAGATGTCGGTTCTCTAAATGGTCAACCAATTCAACTTGGTGATTATATGTTAGGTAATCACTGTATAATAAATTATTTCAATTATCAAGCAAATGTTATCATTCTCATCGAATGGGCTAATTAAAAATTTTATTGTTTATATTTTAGGAGCAAATTCTGATGATGTTTTAAATGAAACATATACCGATGATGATGGAGAGTTTTTCATCCATGGTACTACGATGGAAGTTGGTCAAATTCAACCAATTGTAAAAGTGTACCACAATTGTCTTTATAGTAGACTGGTTAGTGCTATCATTTAACAGAAAAAAATAAAAATAAAGTAAAATTATCAGATGCTTTGTAATCAGTGATAAGATATTTATAATTTAATCAAAAATAAAACAGATAATTTAATTATTTATGAAATATATTTTTTGTTATTAATGTTAATTATAAATGTTTATTTTATAGTTTGGATTACGAAGAATTCAATTCTTGGTTCCATATCATTTTACCAACTATGGAATTCACGCTGAAAAAGTTTTAGACTTGGGCACTTTTAATTTGGAAGCTATATTACCTGTAAGTATGCTTTAACTCAACAATAAATTTTATTTCCTAAATTTCAGCTCAGTAAATTTTTATTATATTTTCTGCCTTTTCTTATTACTTCGATAATTATTCTCATAGTATTATTATTCAGCAACAAGATTTAATTATTAAAAATTAAAAAAAATCAACCAGCATTGTTTTCTAATTTGAATACTAATTTCAGGATGAACAGTACGAGATTTTTGTAACAAGATGATAGAGCGAATAAATATGCTATATGATCCGATCGCTATTTTGAATTAATTAACTAATTAATTAATAGAATATAATTTAATTATTTTTGCTAAAAAACAATTGCAGTAAAATTTATATTCATTCTTTGGTTAAAGTTCATTTTATCATTTCTCTTATTTATATTATTATCGAATCGTTATCAGAATTTTTTCTTTTCTTCATTCTTTAAATTATTTATCATATCGTAATTTAATGTTTTTCTTCCCAAATAATTTACAACAATTTATTTTTCTTTGTTTATTTATTACCTTAATTATTATCACATTTAAATTAATTGCATAAATTAAATTTATATTAATAACTATTTTGCTGATCTTATTCGTTATGGTTTTTTTACCCTTACTATTCTTGAAAAAATCTTCTTTTTAAAGAAAAATAATTTTTATTTCAAAAAATAATTTTGTCCCTCTCTTTTTATAATTTTAAACATTTAAACAATGAAATAGTAATTAAGCAAAATATGCAAATATAAGTAATATTTCTTCAAATCGTTTTAAATTTCATTTAATATTTTAGAGGATGATGTTACAAACAGTGTTGTTATCATTTTTGATATTATCAAATTATCAAGTAGTGGTAGGAAATCGAATGCAATCGGTACAAATACGAGGAAGTTTTCGATGTGGTGAAGAAATTCCTCATAATGCAACGATTGAGCTATGGGATGAAGATGATCCAATAGAAAATTTTCTTCATCAATTTTTCGTTCAAGAAAATAGTATGGAAATTTTCTTATTAAAAAAAATTATAGCATAACATTATGATATGATCGTAAATGTTTACCAGTGTAAATAATGTTATTGTTTTTTATTTATTAAATTATTTTTTAATTGATTAAATTTAATAATTATCATAACTTTCACTCAATGATTAATTTATAATCAAAAATAGTAAGAATTTTTTAATAATATATAATAAATTATTTTAACTAAATTTTACGATAGCTTGAAAGTTTTTCAATTTTAATTCAGCAAATATATTTATTTGAATTAAAATAGGAAAGATAAATCAAAAGACTAATTTGGGAAAAGTTGAGAAAAAGAATTTGTTTTGTTCTTAATTTTTCTATTTCATATTTCATATTTAGATTTATCCTAACAATTTTAAGGTGATGATCCTGATGATAAACTTTTTACAACACATCCAGATATTAATGGTACCTTTGAAATTATTGCTACACATGAAGAATTTACCAAATTAAGTTTGTATATGGTAGTATATCATCAATGTGAACATTTAATACATTGCAAATCTAACAGTTATAAGGATAGGAAGGTTAATTATTTCTTTTTAAACTTTTATAAACAAATGAGAAAAATTGTTTTTGTGTATTTCGTTTTTTATTATCTCACTAGGTATTATTTATAATTAATAAGTTTCGCAGGTGATTTCATTCAATTGTCAATTTCATTTAATTTCTTTCTATTCATTTTTTAATCATCCGAATAAAAATGCTTAAGCATTAGCGAATAACTGAAAATATTTGAAATACGTTTTATAATATGAATTCATTTAATTACTTAATAATTTTAATAATTGATATTTCAATTTTCAAGAAATGATCATAACAATATCATCATTATTTTTTTTTTACAGCTTCAAACATGGCGACAATTTATATTTCGTATACCACAACAATATGTAAATGATGGCGATAAAGCTGTGAAAGTTTTTGATTTGGGCACTTGGAATTTACAATTTAAATTTATGGTAATTAATGTAATTCAATTTAATCGAAGAATTTCATTGAAATTTTGAATGTTTTCAGTAGTTGTTATGCTGAATTCATTGTTTTAATTCAATTTTTTGAAATAAAAAACAATTATTTAATAATTATTTAATTTGAAATAATCTATTATTTAAATCGATTTACATTTCATTTCGTATTATGAAATTTTATTTCTATTTAAAGTGAACTAAAATGGTACGAACAAATTAATCAGATAAGATTATAGTGGTCAATTAGAAGCCGTCGAAAGTTTAAAATCACTAAATTGATTAAATAGACGATTAATCTTTGATTTACATTTTTATTATTACATACATGCTAGTATGCATAGAAGTATAAATTTAAGACAATAAAAAAATGAAACAATGGAATAATTAAGAAATATTAAAGAAAATATTTTCAATTTTATAAAAGTTTAATCGTGTTTATTGTTGATAAATGTATGCTTAGTCTAATTTTTTGTAAACAAATAGTAGTAGAAATGCCTTCAATATTATTATCAGATGTAAAAATAAGTTATAAAATAATTTATAGGATGAGGAATTAGTTCTGAGCTGTGGTGATAATGATTTCAAACTTTGTCCATCCAATTTTCCACAATATTCACCATATTTGCTACATTTCTGGAAGCGTGTTAATTTTGGACCTTGGTTATAATGGATGAAATATAAAGAGATGAAATTTGTTTTTGAATTTCATTGTGCTAATATTTAAACATCGTAGCAATAATTGTTACTACTTATTGTCATTATTATTTAATATATGCGTTGAAATTATGCAGCTACGGTATAATTAATACTCAAAAGTACTGTCAAATTTTTTGCTAATAATATCAGGTGAAAAGTTATATCGATTTTTCCTTTTTTTGTGTGTGTCAATTTCAAAGAGGTCGATTTTATTGATTTGGTTCGATTTTGCATGAAATTAAGAAAGAATGCAATAAAAATTAAAATGTATAATTAATTGATAATATAAAATTATTGTTATAAACATGCAAAAGTTATCATAATATTGATTTCAATTTTATATTTGCACAATATGATTTTGACCGTTTTTATCAATTATTGATAATAACAATAATTTACCAATTTTATCAGTTAATTTCTTTATATTTTTCCATTTTATCAATTCATCAGTCAATCATGATTAATAAGTTTTATCATTTAAAAATGCATTTTTCTAGAATCAATATTATCATATCGTTTAAATATTTTAATTCCATATTGGGATAATATTTTCCGGTTATTCCATACTTCATTTTTTTAAAAGAATATTTAAATAGCTTATAATAGCATTCAAATAGATAATTTTACGAATACATTATATTTGTAAAGTTAAATTGATAAATTTAAGTAAGCATATTTAAAAATTTTTTAATCAAAAACAAACTTGTTTTGTAGCTTATCAATTTTTAAACAACTGATTAAATCTATTTTAGCAATGATTATTATAACATTATCCATTTTATTCTCTTCAATTAGCAATGCCAGTGGTTTTATAAATCAAGCATTTGAAATTCATGGACGATTTATGTGTGGTCAACAACCGTTGCATCGTGCCGCAATTGAACTATGGGAAGATAATCGATCATTGTTAAATTCGGTAATATATATTTTAAGACAAAAAAGAGGTAATATAATTTGTTTACTTTTGAATATATATAATTTTTACGCTTACTTCTAATGAGGCGATAAAATTGCTATTAAAATTATCATTTTAATAACAGACAAAAAAAATGATTATTTTATGAAATAATCAAACTTGTGAACTTGTGAATGAGATGAAATCAGATATTTATATTTATATAAATCATATTCTGCATCTTCTGATGAAACAATAAAGTTTCATCATTAATATTTTTTATGTTATCACTATTGTTTTTATTATTATCAATATTATTATTATTTTTTAATTATAAAGGACCAAATGATGAATTTCTTGCTCGAACGAATACAAATGAACATGGCGAATTTAGAATAAATGGAACTTCTGAAAGTGTAATTAAGGTGAAGCCATATATTTATGTGTATCATCGTTGTGATGCTGATGAACTACCTATAAGTAAATCACGACCAACGGTATGAAAAATTTTCACTTTTTGCTAAAAATATATTTTCTTCCATTTTTTATTTTCATAAATTTAAAGCCCAAAGATTATTGCATAAATAAGCAAACTGTTGTGAAAGTGTAGCAATTTAGATAAAATGCAAGTAAATTTGAAATTTTAATTCTTACCTAAAATTTTTCATACCTATGAAATATATTCAAAATATGAAATAATTGTTAAAAGGATTACTTAATTTTAGTTCAAATTATGGCGTACATTTGTAATAAAAGTACCAGGAAAATATGTCAATTGGGGGAATCGAGCATTGCAAATATTCGATTTAGGAGAATACAATTTGCAATTTCAGTTTGCAGTAAATTATTTTTTTTTGTCAAACATTAAATTTATAATAAGATCATGAAATTTATATATAATCAACTCTTTTAACAGTTACCTTAAAGGTATACAATTTTGAATAATATCTAATCATTTAGCTAACAATACAAATTTTTGAAATATAATTTAAAGGTCAAATGGTATAAATCCAATTAACTGAATTAGTGAATTTTCAAAATTGCCAACTTTTGTTCTTTTTCTTTCTTTATATTCTGATTTAAATTTAATTCAAAGTTATTTAAATGCTGCAAATAATATATTTTAATTTTTAAAGCTTTGGATGCATTTTAATTCCTTCAAATCACAGATAAATGTGATAAATTAATTTTTGGCTATTCGATGCTAATGAATAATATTATTAGGATAAATTTATTAAATGAAATTTAAGACAAAATAATAATTAATTACAGGATGAAATATTATTAGAGAATTGTAATATGCGCAATGAATTGTATTATAGACGATGTGCTTACAGTATTCCATCGCCATTTCTATCTCGACTTACACATTCCATCTTCTTCAGGCATTAAGCTAATGATTTAATGTAATTAGTAGTTTTTTAAAATTTCCTACTGGTAATTAATTGTAAAGACAATTAATTATTTATATTTCTTTTTTACAAAATTATTTCTAAGTCTAAAAAAGTTAGAAATTTCATGAAAATTTTTAACAATGGAATTGATTATGTAATGCACAATTAATTATCATCTTATGTGATTTTGTAAAATGAAGAAATTGAACTTATAGTAGGAATTATATCAAAATTATAATAATAATAATTAATTGTCAGAACTAGCTATATTATAAAGTGTTGAAGAGATAAATGATAAGACAAATCAGATAATGAGATAATGCAACAAATGTACATGTCGATTAATTTGCTGTACGCTGAATTTATTTGTTCAAATTTAATTAGTGAAGTTATTCTGCAACTCATAATTTGATGATAAATGGGATAAGAAAGATTTACGACTTACGATTTTGGTAAAAATTATAGGAGAAAAAAAACGGAAAACTTTTTCAGATAAGATGAAAAGATATGAGATTGTCATATCAAAGTTTATATATCAGCAAATGTTTTCTAAATAATGAATTATTTAGGATATGCTAAATTTTATTGCATCAGATGATTTCATTTCTAAAACGAATAATATAGTTATGGTATAATGGAAATGGAAAAAATAAAATCACTTTCAAGATCCAGTGTTTTCATAATTTTTACGGTTCGATAAGTACCTGCAATCAGTGACGCTTACATATAAGAGTGTTCATTTTTTCAAAGTTATTAATATTTTCTAGAATTTGAAAAAGCACTATTCAACGTTAATCATATCATCATATTGATTATTTTTAATCTTTCTTCAATTTTCATAAACAATTATTGTGGTTGAATTTGATGTTCAAAGAATTTTACCAATTTGTAACCTATTTAATGATATCATATTTAAATATTGTTAAAGATATGGATGAAAAGTCATATGAATAAGCTGTAAAATCACTAAAAAGCACTATATAATCTAATTATTTGCGGTAATCTGCGACAGCCTTCTTCATTTCCATCTCTTATTAATCATCAACGATATCATCCATATCGATACAATTGAAATTCTTGTATAACGAATCCTTAATTACATTTTATTTTTAAAAATTCATTCGACATTCTATGCATGACATATCTGATTTGATTAAGCAAACTAAGTATCCAATATGTTTCAACGAAGAATATTACCATCAATCGATTGCAACTTATTGATTACACGAACAATTAATTCAACGCAAAAATTTAACATCAAATATCAATAAACGATAATTCTTTCTTATTTTTCTGTTAATTGATTTCTTGTTTGCTCCGTTTTTTTACCCTAATCAAATTTACTACATGAAGTAAAACATTTCATAATCTGGCAAAATGTTGGATCGATACATAAATTGCGAAGTATCACGTTAGATATGATATCGAATATAACAATAACTGGGAGTATAATCTATATAAAAAGACATTAGTTTTAAAAGCAATAAAGTTATACAAAGTATAATTAGTGATGTAACGTGAAAAAGTAATTACGTGGAATTTAAGATATAAATTCATGTAAGATATCAACGTACGAAGGGTGCTACTACGCGCAGCACAATTACATTTACAACTTCCAAGTTGATAATCGATGCAACTTTTGATCCCAATTGCAATTTGCTTCGTCCATGGACCAATCAGTATTCAACGGTAGGACGGCGGCTGTTTGGTTCTCTTGTTTAATGATTGATTAGTTAATATATTCTCTTCGTTTTGTCACTTATTCTGTTGTTTGTCAGTTTATTCGTTTTACTGGTTCTACAGTGTTCTGTAATGTTTCTCGAAGAGTACACTGAAATTTCAGGTGAATATCTCGATTTATATATCCTATTTTTAACGAAGATATGGTGGTAAGTGTTATAAATTCATGTTCTACAATTCAACTCGTTTGATACAAGATGTCACAGATTTTTAATTCTAGATCTTTCATTATGATGTAATACTATCTTAATATGCAGTCAATTATTATTATTATTATGTGAAAAAAATTTATCGTGCTCAGTGTTGTAGTTGGGAGGATGAGTTCTTTTTACTTGTTATTGTAACTGTAAAACTTGTCTTTTTCAAGCATATGCAAATTTTAAGAAAGCAGAAACATTTTTAAATTTGAAAACGTTTTAATTATTAATTAAAAATTGATATTTTAATTGAAAATTTTTATGTAGTGTATTGTTCGTTTTCCTTTTCAGCTACCGCTATCACTTTTACGCACGGCGCAGAATCATCCGATGTTGGTTGAGCTGAAAAATGGTGAAACGTATAATGGACATTTAGTTGCATGCGATGCTTGGATGAATATCCATTTAAGGGATGCTATCTGTACATCTCGCGTGAGTTATTTTTTTATGGATCGCTGACTGTTGCTGTTGATTGGGATTTAACTGATCATCAAGAGTCATTTCGAAGATTTATTTCGCAGATTTTGTTTCGTTCTATTTGTTATGCAGTGTGGATGAGTTTTGTCCTGAAACAACATACGGTCCCGGAATCCTCTCCACATTTGTCCCTGAAAATATATGTGTCAAACCAGATCTGTATGTTGCTAGAATTTAGAAGGTAGTGATAGAGAGAGAGTATGAATAATTTTAAATGTGATTTTTGTTTAACAACTGACTTGTTTTTAATTGATGATTTTATTTCTACTTCAGGATGGTGATCGCTTCCTAAAAATGCAGGAAGTATATGTACGAGGTTCGACAATTAAATATTTGCGGATTCCGGACGATGTGGTAGAATTGGTGAAGGAAGAGGTAAATGACACCTTTGATTCGTTACTCTTTTGGAAGCTTTTGTATATTTCTTTTTTGAATTGCAAGATCTATCACTTGATTCAGAAGTGTGCACCCATCTGAGTGAGAGACACATTTCATAATTTCACATTTGCCTTTTCTGCCACTTCTGATATGGGTTAACACCGACTGAAGAGTTTTGATTTCAGGTTAAGGAGGTACGTAGACAGCAGAAAGACCAACAACGGGCAAAGCGTAATTTGCAAGGAGTTCGGGGTGGCGGGCAGCAAGGCAGAGGAGGAGCTTCTAATCGTGGCGCTGGACGTGGTGGTAGTCATCATGGATGGAATCGAGATAAATCAGCTGTCCAATAAAATCATTTGTCTGCAAATTATTTATCTTTTCTTGTTTATATGTCGAAATTATGAAGAATTATTGATATTTCGGAAATCGCTATTTGATATCTTCAGCAAATTTCATTTCAAAATGAAATGTTGTGAATGTTGAATACACGGTGTTTTAAATGGGATTCTTCGTGATTTCATTTTCAATGCTTTTAAATGTATGCGATGTTTGAATAAATGCTTTCAAAATATTGTTGATTGAAAATTCTATGGCTTTTCGCGGATTGTTGTCCGATGGAAATTGTTATTACTTTTTACTTTCTTCCGCATTACTGAGGGATAATTTTTTCGTAATATTTTTGCTCAAGCTTGCTTGCTTGGTGTATTATCACAAAGTTGTTTTTAATGTTTTCTAAGTCAGAAATTAGACGCGAATATACATGTTATGTTTAGACATTCTGAAGAAATCACGTAATTGAAGCAAACATAATTTAAAAAATATTTTTAATTATCATGGCAAAATTATTTGATTTTTTACTATTTGCAGAACTAATAAAATGCAAGATAATTCTCTTATAGCTCTTCAACGCTAGAGATTTCAGTTAACATTTGAAATGAAATCAAGCAGTGTCTCAGACCGCAAAGCTGGTACCGGATCAGTTTTTGATAATTTGAGTAACATATATGTGTAAATGATATATGCGGATGTTAACATTTTCATTGGTAGTTTTTCTTCTGCATTCTACCAGTGAATTACGTTTTGCTGAGTCTGCCATTACATTTCCATTGCACATCCTATATTGCTTGCGATTGCATCCTAAGTTTAACATATGTTTGAGTAGATATTTTTATTTGAAGCTGAAATGGCGACAAAAAGAAAAATGGTGCCACCGTTAGCAGTGTCGCTTTACCACGACTTGGATGTTGGTTCGACCGTTACAGAAAAATCAGAAAGTTCCAATACAAGTGATGTTGGTGCAGATTCCAGTTGCAGCATGCAGAAAAAATCCCGGAATGATGGTGCAATTTCCGAAGGGTCATGCAAGACTGATGATGATGGTGCTGGTAGGTGGACGATTGCTTCATTCTCTTAAAAGGCGCGTCTTTGATTGTCCATTCCTGTATGCCTTCAATTTTTATTATGCACCTTTTTCCCAAAGGCGTTACTTTCATTACTCTCTATTCTCCGTCTAGAAGGATTTAGTTTAGCTTAGTTTGACTTTAAAGCGATCCCTAGTGGTTGAGTGAAAATTGCAAGATTTGCTAAAAATCTTTATTGCTCAAAAAATTAAATTAAATGAAATTTGGTTGCAGTCAGTAAACTGGTTAGCGTATGTGGTTGGAGGAAAGGTGAACGTCAAGATATGCAAGATGCACATGTTCGATTGGATCAGTTTGGACTCACCGCCATCCGTAACATGTAATCACAAGAGACAAAACACAAAATCTCTTTTAACAGTTTGGATCAGTTTTATTCACTTCGTACTTTTTTAGTCAGAGAAGTGCTTTTTATGCGATTTTTGATGGTCATGCTGGACGTCGAGCTGCAGATTTTGTTGCCGAACGTTTGCCATCTAGATTGAAGAGGAAATTGGAAGCATGTAGGTTTTATGTTTACAATTATTTCTGTTGTAGAAGTGAGTAGTGTTAAATGTAAATTGCCAAACTTTCAGCAATCGAAATCAAAATGAATTGTTAAGTGCAAAAAAAATTAGGCTAAGATTGTATAGGAAAATAATATATGTATTCCATTGGGGTTATCATGGTTTTTCACTCAAAGATGTCAACAAATCGCGGGGGTAATTTATTCGGGTCCTAAATATACATTCCGAACAAATATATGAGAAACGAGTAGAATTTTAAGTAATAGATTTTCACTTTACTGTTATGTGAGTCGGAGATAGAATTAACTGTAGTCAAATAGCTTATATTTTATTATTGCAAGAGTATGTATCATTATAGCATCAATTAATTCCAGATTCTGATTTGGCATCTTTGGAGAGTGGAATAAAAAAGTGTTTCATCGATATTTATAAACAAATCGATGAACAGTTTCTAGTTGAAGCTCGTCGAACGTTAGTTCTTCATTATGCTCTAACTGTAATTTTTATACATTGCTTTTTTGTTTCTCCTGTTTGTGTTTCAAAACTTTATTCTGCTAAAGGAGACCTTCATGGAAAGATGGTACAACAGCAACCACAATTCTGCTGATTAACAATATTATTTATTGTGCGAACATTGGCGATTCAAAGGTCTTTTTAAGAACCGATAAAATTCCGTTCTCTATTTTTAAATAGCCTTAGATTATTATAAAACGAAAAGGAAAAATTCTTTGAAATAGAAATAGTGAGACATAAATTTCTGTATGAACCTGTGCATACGAGAGAGTTTCCTCACTTTCATATGTTGGATTATAGTTTCCTCGCGTTTAATCGCATTAAATCGTACAGGTCGATCGCTAAATTATACCTTTCAGGCAGTTGTTTGTCGTAGTAAGTCAGGAACTGAAGAAGCAAAGGATGTTGCGATGCAGTTAACAGTAGATCATTCGCCGCTGCATTTCGAAGAACGAATGCGAATTCAGAAGGCTGGTGGTAATGTTAAGTAGGTTTATTAATATATACATTTATTGGAGTATAACAGTTTAAAAGCGTGTTAGCAGCGGATTTCATTTTTATGTATTTGGTTGTTTTGAAATAAAATATTTGAGGGATGGTCGCATAATGGGTATTTTGGAAGTTTCCCGATCGATTGGAGATGGCCAGTTCAAGGCATATGGGCTCATTTGTACACCGGATGTTAAGAAATTTTCTATCACGAAAGATGACATGTTGGTCTTTTGATTTCATATTGAATATCCGAAAATTTTTAAATATTGACAGTTTTTATGAGTCGTTTTTAGATGTTAGTATAGAATTTTAAATTTCGGTTAAAGAAAAGCTTTCAGATTTGTCCTCATTGCGTGTGATGGTTTGTGGAAAACGTTTAGCAATCAGCAGGCAGTGGATTACATTATGACGAAAATGAGACAGTTAACAAAGGTTTGGGTATTTAGATATTATTATTCTATTGATTGGCATTTTAGAATTTAATGTTTTGTTTTTTTAGCCTGGTGTTGAGGAGGAATCAGAAACACGTGAGATGAATTGGCAGAATGTTGCGGATGATTTGGCTGCTGAATCGGTGAAGCGAGGCTGTGGCGATAATGTTTCCGTTATTATTGTGGTACTTAATGATTCCCAGGATAATTTGATTATAAAGTCTTAAGCATTTTTGTAAAATGAAGATTGTGTATTGAATGAGCATAACTTACAAAAATAACTAAAACTTTATAATTATTTTATAACTGGGTAGAACTATTTTATGAAATGAAGTGGAAAACGTTTAATTTTAATTATTTTGTAATCTAAAATTATTTACATCCATGCGGAAAACTTTTTTGTTCCAGGCTGGTAGACTTATGGTTTTTTCTGATTTTGGTTCAGTTTATTCCTGTTCTCTGAGTTTATGTTGGGAATAGTAATGTTAACGGTAATTTGTATTTGTTGATATTAATGCGAAATTATTATTTGATTATTAGTAATACGCGTTCAAGGCGTAACCTATGGTAGTGCATTTGTTTGCAAAGAATGTTTCCGTTATGAGATGACATTTTATATATTTGCTTGTGAATTTAGTTGTTTTTTATTAATTTAAAGATATGTAACTAAATCTTTGTATTTGTTTTATGTATTTTTTTTTTAAATTAATAGCTTTTTTAAAATTATTTCTCTATTTATTTTTTGGTTGAAGTCATTTTCACACATTTTCACACTTCCTCTGCTTTTTCCCTTCTATTGCACAGCTGAAAATTATTTTAGGTTGAATGAAAGTTTTTTACTAGTTTGTAATTCGTGGAATTTCAGAATCAGCAAAATTTATTCACATTAATAATTTCGTTTATTTTCGAAATTTAAGTAAAAAAATCATAGTGTTCACCATCTTGTAATGTACCTGTTGCTCGATTTTCACCATATGGTATGAGATTGTGGTCATCCAAGGAACTTTAAGCCTATCCGTAATCATCTTCTCGATCAAAGTGATTTTATTTCGATGAATTAAGTTTCTGATATAGATTTCTTGCTCCGAATCATCGCGATCTTAGAAATGAAATCGAGACTTGAACAGACGCTGAGGTACAACGGTAGCGTTCTGGTTGAGTTATTCATAACTTTCTTTTGTAATAGCTCAACGGAGAAAACTATGAGATACCTATTATAGCGATTAAAACCAAAACTAAACTGAATTAATAATGTAATTGCACAAGTCAGAATATGTAATGAAAAAAGAGAAAAAGGTAGTTATTGTTTCAAATTATTATTTTGCATATTTTAAATAGATCATTTTGTTTATTGTAGCTTTTACAGAATGCAATTCCTTTTGATTTCGTTCCTATCTTTCCTATCCCATATATATTCATTTTTGACTGTCTGCTTGTTCATTTTCGGTTTGTTGTCTTACTTTCTCCGCCAGCAGATCGGTTGTTCAACACTCGTAAGTTCAAATCTGTTGCATCATAGGTGATTGCTTATCTCTCATAGAAGTGATATGTAAAAATTAAATTTAAGAAGCAAAAAAAGTGCTCAATTCATTCAATAATCGAAATTTAATCAAGTATCCAATAAATCATTAGTCAGTGATAAGTAGAAAAGATAAATGTAAGGTGCGAATAATTTGAATCGAATTTGAAATATGACTTGTAATTTTTGATGTTAGTAAAAGCCATAGCTAGAAAATTGATTGCTTCAAATATTTTCATTGAAATATGCAATTTCAATTTTCTTAGTTACTAATAACATAATATTAAAATTGATAGAGAAAACTTCACCTTTCTTTCGCCTAATGCATCTCTTTTTTTAATTCTACATTTATTTTTGCTTGTAAAGTTTTGCTAATATTTTCCAATTTTTCTTCTTCACTTTCAATTCGCAATGAAAATATGCTTATGTTACAAAAATTATTTCAATTGTTAGCACTTTAAAATATTTCGCAATTGATTTATCGTCAGTTATTAAGAATTTCTTTTCTTCTGACAAATTTGAAGTATCAATTTAAGCTGTATTATAAATTTGTAGAAATAGAAAATGGGATATTTATTTGGGCTGATGCTTTTGAGCCTATTTCTTTTAACCTCTCAACGGCGGATTATTAATGCTCGCTTTGGCTGTAAGTTTTGATTCGCTGTTTATTTTGCTTTTAATTTGCTGATAAATAAATTTGGAATGATTCAACTCTTTGATTACATTTTGTATATATTAAGTGTTAAAGTTGAGAATTGAGCATGAAAATATGGGAGAGAGAACGAAAGAATGAAACAGAGAGAAAAGATTTTATGCATAAGTGATATTTCACTAGACGTTTCACAATTTCGAATTTTTCAAATGAACTATAATTTAAATTATAAGTTAATCTGAAATTTACCGATAATTTCGAAAGCTTTACTAGTTTGCAAGAGAATATAAAAATAAGATAATGTGGAGATAGAGTTGTGAAGAAAGTAAGGGAAAGAGGAGAAAACAAGATTATATCTAACGAACATTTCCGAAAATGTTATGTTTTTATTTCAAAAATAGGAATTATTTACCCATAATTAAATTAACCTTTGGTAATTAATGATGTTCTATATATAATATCACAGGTATTTCATATAATATATAATTAAATTATGTATTGATTAAACAGAAAAAAGCGAAAAATATTCCATAAAATAATTCTAATTTTTGCTCTAAATTTTTCATAATCATTCAATTTCTAATATTATCAACAAAAAAGAGAAGAAAAGAATGGAAAGAGATTTAGTTTAAAAATATTTCACAATTACAAAACAATAAAATCTGTAAATTAGAAAATAGACGACAAAATGATATCACTTGAAATTTAAACAATTTAAAAGAACACATATGCAATTATATAGAATAGTTTATAGGCAACAGAAAGAAACAGAAATTGTATTATTAAATAATTATGCAAAATTTTGTTTCTGTATGAAACACGTTTCTTGATATCTTCCGAAACGTTATAAGACAAGAATATATTCTGGATTGTGACATGGACGTTTTGAAATGTAATACGGTTGGAATACGTTTTGAATATGATTGGGATACAGCTTTTGAATCCCTATGATTCACTACAACATTTTCAAATTTATCAATATTTTATTTGTATTTATAGAATTCTAAATTATGCCATAATTTTAATAACGTAATTAGTCTCAAATTAGAAATCGGAAACAAGAAGAAATTCAAGCATACCATAAAATAATTAATTTTTTCTTTGAAAAGCGAGAAATTATTACATAACAATCAAATCATTATAACTATATTTACATGAAAATTTTTTTACGCTTCAATTAAAATGAATAATAGAATTATAGAATTATTTCGCTTACTATAAATGATTAGTAAATGAGTTAATAAAAATTTCATTGAAGTAATTTGTTTATTTCGATTTAATTTAAGATTGATAAGTTAATAATGAAATTTTTTTTCTCATAAATTATTTAATATTTTATATTTTTTTATCTTTTTATTTTATATGATAGATTAATGCAAAATTTTTCTTATTTGGGATTTCATTGAAATAGTTGCATGCAATGATTTCATTTGTTTTGATCTCAATTTCAAATGTTATCGAATGAGCGAGCGTTGAAAACGAAATAATATGTAATTTTCATTAAATATTTATTATATGATATATTTAAAATCATTTCTTGCTTCCTTATAAATTTGACATTCGATATTCAATATTAAATACATTTCATATATAATATCAATAATTCAATAATTGATAATTTCAATTCTGAAAATATTATAAATTTTAAGCAAAAAGAAAAAATTCAACTTAAAATATTTAAAAATGATGAAAACTGCTCGATTAAATATTATAATTTATAATTTTTCTTTTAATGATAACAATCTCATCTAATCGATCATATCAAAAATTGATTACGGTAATTAATTGCTGGTAATATCAGAATAAATCTTTTTTATCATTACAAATTTATTATAATAAATCTTTTAAATTAGTTATATAATTATGTATTATGATCATTTTTTAATATTATGCAATTATTAATTTGATAATATTATTAAATATTAAATTGATAAACTGATAATAATGATTATTGACATTCCAGTATGTCGACTTGAATGTGCTGAACGTAATGAATTTGTTGCTGTACGAGCATATCTCAAGCATAATGTTGCATCGATAGGATTTTGTCGTAATAAAACTAGTAGTGGTGCTCGATCATTTATTGTGCCATTCACTTGCCATCGTAATATTGGTATCTGGGAACCGGATAATGCGGTATGTGCATTATTGATTTCAATAATTTTTCTTTACAATTTTAGCATTTAAAATTTAAATTATTTATCAATACAAAAAGTTAGGAAATAATTCGGAAAAAAATTTTATAAAATATAAAAGCTCTATTGATTTTGATTAATTCATTGAAAATAGTATTAAAACAAAAAATAATTATTTTAATTAGAAATGATAATTAAAATTTAACTAAATATCATTTTTTGCATAATATAAAATTGATGATTCGAATTTTAATAATATATAAATAACAAGTAATAGTAATAATTTCAATTCTATTTCTTTTTATTTAACAAAATTCTAAAATTACTTTTTTTTGAAATCGATATTATTTTACCAAATTCTTTTCTTTATTTTTCATATTTTAAATATGATTGAAATTTCATTTATTGTAATTTCAGTTTTAATGAAATTTGAAATTAAATATTTTCATGCCTTTTCCTTTTTCCTTATTTTATTCGAAATGTTTATTTTACGCATATTTTATTTATGTTAACACATTTTTGAACTCAAAATTAAATAGATATAAATGACGAAAAAAGAGTTTAAAATGTTTTATTATAAATATAAATTACAAAGCAATTTTTGTATTTCGTTTTTTGACACGAATTTGATGGGAAAAAACAATTACTAAAATATAATTAAAGTTAATTCCATCAAAGTTTATATTATATGGAAAAGTTGAAATTATGAAAACTTCAACTTTGACCTCAAAAATTATTTTTTCTTATTGTCGATTTTACAACTTAAAATATTATTACTTTCCTGACCAAACGAAGTAGGCGGAAAATTCTCTTTTGATTTAGAAATTTATTAATTCGCTTTGTTTCGCAATTTTCTTCCAAAATATTTTTTCGTCGTAAAAATTTGAAAAATATATGCGTATTCATGTGTTTCTTAATTAACTAATTATGTACGAAAATTTATATTTAGTTATTTTGTTATAGCTTTTATGGCAGATTAATTAAATTAGGTAAGTTATTTTAGTAAGTCTTCATTTAGTAATCATTTCAATAATTATAATTTTATTTTATTATCTTGTAGTTCTGCAACTTTTTGATTAAAACAAAAATTTAAAAATTGAAGGATCATATTTTTTTTGAATCTATTATTACTCATTGTTTCTATTTGATATGCTTACTGATTTGCTACTCTATTTATCAATTTATCATCATTAATAATGATCATATGATACTATATGAATAATGCACCATTTGAAAAGCTAAATCGAAAATAATTAACATTTAATTGTTTTAATAATGATGAATAAATTAAACAATTAGGAAACTATTCATAAATTAATTGATCGAATAACAATTGTGATGATAATATTTTCAAACTATTATCATATATTTATTATCAAATTTTTATGATGATTAATAATTGTTAAGTAAGAAATAAATTATTAGTTAAAGATGGTTTACTTATAAAGTTAAATAAGTAACCCTAAATAAAATAATTGATTAAACGGTAATTGCAATAATAATAATTGATAATAATAATAATAGTAATAATAATGATAATAATAATAATAATAATAATAATAATAATAATAATAATGATAATAATAATAGTAATAATAATAATAATAATAATAAAATAATAATAATAATAATAGTGATAACAGTGATAATAACGGTAATAATACAGCTATTGCTGTATTTACCAATAAATTATCATAAAATTAATAATTTTTAGCTAAGCATTTACAGGATAGTGAAGGTGTGACAGAATTCCGTGTGCCATGTCCGGAAATTGTACATTATCCACTTGAGAAGTTGAAAACATGTCCTGAAAGTATGTAATATCGTATTTGCAATCCTTAAATTTATTAATTTATCAATTTTTTTTTGCCCATTTATCGCATTATGTTTACTATAATTAAATTTGTAAAAGAATAATTATTACTATATGCATGCTTTACCAATATAATAGTATTTAATAATCTATTAGTAATCTAATTTAAATTATCTTAAAATTTTTTAAAGCATACTAAAAAGTTGAAATGAAATCCAAAAATTTCCATTAACAATAAGTACTTTTTTTCTTATAAGAAATTGCTTAATATTTTTATAAGTCTCCAAAACATAAAATTTATATTAAAGAATTTATATTTCCAAGATGTTTATTACAGAAAAAACTAAAATGAAATTTCAAAATTTCCCTTATTCAATAATTAATTAATCAACCGCAAGTTATTATAAAATAAACGATTAGATAAAATTATTGCATTAATTTCAAAACTTTGAATTTAAAAATAAATTAGAAGGGAAATTAAAATTGTTCTTATAATTAAATGTAATATTTTATGATTTAATTGTTAATTTTACAATTTCAGAAGCGAAATATTGGTTTTAATGATTAAATAAGAGTTGGCCCGTTATTTGGAAATATCAAAATTGAAATTGAAATAAAATGATGCAAAATTTTTTTGATCATTGTATTAAGTTAAAATTATCAGTTCAAAATGGGCAATTTGAAGGGATTTTTTGGTATCGAAATGATAATAATAAATAATGTTTATTATTGCAAGTTATACTTTGAAAAGAAAAATTTTAAATTTCAAAAGACAAATGAAATAAATTAATAAGTATTATATGATGAAACATGAGAGAACAAAGGAAAGCAAAATTTCCATCCTATTTGATTTGAAATAATAACAATACCTAAAAGTTAACTTTTTTAATTGGAACAATTTTTCAAATGATAATATGAATAGATTAGTAATATTTCTCTTAGCATCATTAATGATATTATTAATGAAATGCTAACTGTTGATAAACATTTCAGTTTGCATAAGCATACTATAAAATCATCAATTTGAATTAAATTTTCAAATGTAAATCACCGGATTGAAGTGGAAAATGTATCAAAAAAACCGGACATCATCCTTTTTAAAATCTATTCCGGAATATTTTCAATTATACCAACTTTTTTTACTTATTCTAACATAATTTGCTAATGAAATCTTCGATATAAATAAAATTATCATAAAATTATCACAAAATTATCATAGAATCATAAAAATAATCATTATAAAAATAGAAAATTATCATGATATTCTCGCTTTTTTTATGCTAATTTATCAGATTTCAACGTGATTTCGAGTTATTTGCGTTTTAAACAATTATATAAATTTCATCGATCAAATATTTTTTTTACTCTCTTCTACTATTTCAATGTATTGATGAATTATTTGCTTTATTTAAATCGATAATAATTACGAATAATAATGATAATAATAATAACAATAATAATAATAAGAATAGTAATACTAATAATAATCAATAATTATAAATAATGATAATAAATGATATAAATAACAATTATAATAATAATAATAATGATAACGTAGTAATAAAGATAACGATATTAGTAATGAATGACAATAATGATGATAATAATAATAATAATAGTATCAAAGTTTCCGTTCAATTTTTTCCATAACAAATATTATTGAAGTAAAAAAAGAAAATGAAATTAGTCAAAAAAGAAAAAGAGAAAACGAAAAACTGATAATTTAAATATTCAGAAATAAAGAAAAGAAAAATAATAAATCATTTCATTTGAATGTGAAGCGTTTTGATGAATGTTACAGAAAGTTCACAATGACAGGTTGTAGTGTAGCAGGAAAGCAAACAACAATCATCCATTTCTTCTTCAATGGATATGCAATCTTATCATATCATTTTAAAATACTTTCCCAACTTTCTCCCTAGCTGCTTATATATTTGTATGCAAAAATATAAATGCTTGCAATTTAAGATTAACATTTAAATTTTCATTTCAATTCAATAAGAAATGGTTGCTACTACTACTACTACTACTACTACTACTACTACTACTACTACTACTGCTGGTTTTGAAAATTTGAACTAATCGAAATTTCTTATTTATTTAAATATTTATCTAAGTGAGATTTTCTAATTCATTCATTTCTTCTTTCACAAATATATTCATTATAATTTAGGAATAATTTATCTGTCATTAAATTATTGTCAAATTATAACTTTCATTTAATATAAAACGATTTATACTGAAAATTTCGGCTAATCTAATTTTTACTCTATTCTTTACATTTTGTTTAATTATATGTTTGTTTATTTGAAATGTTTTCTTTTATTTATTCAACGATTGATTGAATTATTTATTTTTTTATAATATTTTTTCTTAATTTTTTTGAATTGTTTAAATTATAATTTCTTAAAATTATTAACATTGTCGGATAATTTTCTCACATTCCTTTTTTATTTATTAATTTTTTGTTATCACTATAATTATAATCAAAATTATCACTTTATCAGGAGGAATTTAAATTTCAAAAATTTACACTTTTTATTTCGTTTCATCTTTTTTCATATCATTTCTTTATCTTTCTCTTTTTTTTTTGACAAACGATTAACAAATCAACGAAATACAATGAATGCTTCTTTTCTTGCACTACCATATTTCGCATTGGTTTTTATATTTTATCATCAATCAAATGGTTTCATTCGAAGCTATGATAACTTATATGAATATTGGTAAGTTAATCATCTTATCATAATTGATTATAGTTTATTGAAAGGAATGAAACTGTTAGTTTCATTATTAAATGTGATTATATATATGATAACGAAATTTCACTATTGTCATATAAATGTTCCAATAGTCTTAAAGATGTTGATCGCCACATGCAATATTAATGTTTCTAATCTTATCTTATTTTATTCCGATATCATTGAATGATATGATATGTTTCATTTTATTGCATTATCATAATGTTTCATTTTATTATAAAAGAAAACTTCAAATTTTATAAATTTATAAAATTTAAAATAAACAGAAAAATCAACAGCAAATTAATATATTGGAGAATAAAGGAGAAAAAAAAGTTAAGTATAATTAATTTTTTGATAATTTTCAGGAAAACATTACCAGTACTAATTTTAAGTATACTATATTATGCTGTTGGTTCAAGCTTTAGCAATCATCAACGTACCTATGCATCACTTGGATTATTAGCTGGCGCTATCGGTGATTATATGATTACACGTCCAAATAATGGTCTTTTCATTGGTGCAGCTTGTTTTGCTATTGGCCATATCTTTTATTTGGTAAGTATTAATTAATTTATTATAATAATACTTTTATTATAATAGCTTTTCTTATTTTCTAATTTATTTGAAATAATGGCAGGAAATATTTTCTCGTTATATTTTAACCTTTTTAATAGTTATATTTCCTAATTATTAGAGTATTAAGTTCAATATGAGATTCAAGTATTTCAATTTAATTAAAATTCGATTAATACATTTCTTGTTTTAAATAATATTTATTCACGAATTCCCAATTTCAAACCATAAAATTCTTATTTCAGTTTACATTTATCCATCGTATTGGTAACCTTCACATACCGTTAATATTTATTATGATATTGATAAATGTAGTGATATTTTATATAACTTTGGCGTTACTAGTAATCGTTCATCCAACTGCATTAGCAATTATGATTATCTATTTTTTTCTTTTATCAACATGTGTCATATTCAGTGGTTCCTTATATATTCGCGGTGGTCCATCCGATTATCCACGACAATTCGTTAGTTTATAACTAACTATATATTAGAATATAAATAAAAATTATATATTAATAAATAATAATTTTGTTTCGTTTTTCTTTTTTTGAAATTGAGAAATTGAAAAATTGATTTTTTCCTTTGCTTTTATTAAATATTTATTAATTGAATAATCAAATATCATTTTCCTTTTATTTCATTACTATTTAATTAGGACTTTTTTGAAATTAAATAATAAATTTTTACTTTCAGAATAATTTACTTCGATTTATTGGTTTTATACTTTTTTATTTATCCGATAGCACATTAATTATTCATCATGTTGGAATTGCTGTACCAATTGCCGAGAAATTAATCTTATCAACTTATTTTATCGCACAATATCTTATTTTATGTGGCTCATCATTATCATCATCATCAACATCATTATCATCATCATCATCATCATCATCATCGTCACGCTATTATCGCTCTTATCAAGTACATCGAAAATCTCATAAATGAATTTTAATTGAGTTTTAATTTACATACTAAAAACGAATAGGTAGGGCAATTAGAAATAAACTTTATCAAACAATTCTTTTATAATTTGATGATTCATTATTTAATTGAATTTAAATAATATTTTCATAATTCATTGATTGATTGATCGTTTGTTTATTGTTTTGATCAATTCATTAATTAATTTGCACACGAATTATTTACATGTTTTTTTTTTTAAATAGTAGCGAAAATTTTAAGATGAATGATTTATAAAGAATATTACATGAATTTGTATTCATATAATAATATATTATGTCTGAAAAAGAAACGAAGCCAAAACAAACATTAATAAGAAATTTGTGTTTGTTTGTTTATTTGTTTTTAATGAAAGATTATTGAAAATATATTTATCTTTTCAATAATGTTTTATTCATAGTACACATGGATGAATAATGGAAAAAGCAAAATTTATTATTGCGAATTAATTTGAATTAAATTAATATCAAAATGATGCATGATGATATCAAATTTGTTGTAATTAATAAATTGATAAGAAAATTTGATATTCGCTACAATTTGATAATACGAAATGATATCATCAATTATAATATATAGCAAATTAAATGAAATCTTGAAAAATTAAGTGAAATCTTGGAAACTTTCAAATTTAAAGTTATTGTTTCTTGCTTATGAAAATTATTTCAATAAGAAAGTGTTAATAAGTGATAATAGTATGGGCTGATATTAATAGCATAGCTTTTTCGTCACCTATTAGTTTACAATGAATGAAAATTAAATAATAATTATTTTACAATCCAGCCGTTTAAATAGCCTAAAATATTTATATGCTATTAATTTTGATACATTTAAATTATGCGATATTTCCATTTAAAGAAAGACAAATGATATAAAATGATAAATTATAATTGTGGGAAGCATAAAAATTAGAAGAAAAGGAATAGCTATGAAAAAAAATCTAAATTTACACTAAATTGAAAAAACAATGGAAATTTTGAAATTTTTAAATTTGTACTTTAAAGCAAATATCTTTTAAAAATGTTTGGAAAGGAAGGGAAAAGAGAAGAAGTAAAGGAAGAAAAAACTAAGAAAAATTTTTTTAACGATTGAAAAAGTTTTTCTTAATTAATTAAAAAATGTTAAATGAATATAAAAAGCTATTGAATGGATAATTTAAATTTATAATTTAAATGTAATAAAAATTAATTAAATTAGAGAGAAGTTTTTGTTTTTTATTTTTCTCCTAAAATTGTTTTTCATAATTATTCTATCACTTATGAATGTTGGAAATGAATTTTTGAACATTTCTTTGATAACAGATATACAATTACCGTTTTGATTAATTTAATTAAGCAATTATTCAAGATAAATATCCTCCGTTGGATGTGCGAATGCCATATATTCATCATATGAACGTTTAAAGGCGCGTCTGAAATTTATTTCAAACTGCTGAAAAATTAAAAGCCAAATATTCATGGTACTAAATAATTAATTTCTAAATTAATTAATTAAATAACAAAGAATGGCTTTAAAGGGTAGGATTGAAAATTTCATGAAATTCTATAAAAATTCAAATTCATTTAGAAGAGTCACAAAGAGAAACAGCGAAATAAATTTGGAAGATAAATCTTTTTCCTAATTTTCCCTCTTCACTACTTTATCCGGTTAGAATTTCCGGAAAAAAACGTTAAATTAATATAAAGAAAAAGAAAAGAAATCAATGGTACATACCCAATGGATTCAACGATTGGTTGCGTTGAAACATTCGATAGGAAAACATGACATGCAAAACGTGGCAATAATGGATGTTTCGTTATAAAACCAAAATACCTAAAAATCACTATAAAATATCGTTGTGAATAAAAAAAAAATCGTTATTATTATAAAACCACAAAAAAACATCCAGAAAAACGAAAAAGGAATTATACAATAAATTATTTCCGATTTACTATATTGTTATTTTAAAATATTAAAAAATAACTATAAAATATTGCATGAAGAAAAAAAATCGTTATTAGAATTGTAAAACCAAAATATCCGGAAAAACGGAAATGAACTTGTATTGTAATATATTTCCGATTTATTATGATATTATTTTAAATAATTGAAACAATGAAATCATGAATAGGAAAGCAAAACAAAACTAACCTAAGTTGTTTTGGATGTGCACCACAAAATGAAATATTTTGTAAGCTATAGAAGAAGTCAAATGTTGGACATTGGAAAAACTGAAGACAATAAAAATTATACAAAAAGAAATTAATTAATGTTTAGTCACTTATTGTTTATGAAATTATCTCATTGCTGAACGGAATAAACATTTTGTTATTATTTACTTTAATTCGTTTCAAGCAAATCAGAAATCTAAATTAAAAAATAAGTTATTCTAAATAATTAAAATAATAAAATCTGAATTAAAGTATAAATAGAATAAATGTGAAACAAAATCTATTTCGAAAATTAACAATTAATTGGAATATTTATTGTTTATATCAAAAGGTATGGTTAATCTTATTTTAAAAAATCACTGAAAAACTGGAAAATGTACCTAAAAAAGAAAACAATGAAATTAAAGTATTAATTAGTCAAATAATTCAATTTTTATTTTCGACAATTCAATTCATTTTTTACTTCCATTTTTAAACCAAACAAATTTCATCGAAAAATTTTGTTAAATAATATAAACGAATTGGATAAGAAAAAAAGGAAAATGAAGTAATAAAATAATTCGAATATGAAATGAAATTGAAATACTGAATATAAGAAATTGAAAAATTCATTCATTTTTCGAATTCTAAGAAAAAAACAATTCCCTCAATTAATATTTATTAAATTAAATGAAAACTATAAATTCGAAAAATTTAGTTTCATTTTATTTTTAATTAAAAATTATTTGTAATTATTAATTCTAATCCATTCTTTTTTAAATCACTAATTTATTTCATAAATTTTTCATTCATTACAGTATTTCAGTTCTTCATTAACTTACATTCTTTCGTCGTTTATCGATAATATGTATGCCACGAAATGATACTTCCATCAATACCGTTTGTGGTACTATTATTTCTTCCTTATTTTGATAAACACTAAGTACCTAAATTTATTAATTTTCTAATTCAAATTATAAATTACATTCATTTTTCTCTCAAACTAATTTCATTGTTACATCTAAAATAAATTATCATTTATTTGCATCATTTATAATTCTTAATAACAGTAATATCATCGTAGTCGCAAATAGAGAGATGATATTATTTGAAAGCAAATTCAATTTAAATAAATTTCTCAAATGGAAAAAAACTTGAATACTAATCAAATTAGGGAGGAGGAGGTGCAGGTGGCTAAAACTTTAAAAATTCATTGAAATACTGGAAAATATACTAAAAAGGAAAATGTTGAAATTAAAATATTAAAAAGACAAATAATTTAATTTTTCAATTTTAATTAAAAGAAAAATGTATTATTGTATTAATGTATTAATTGTATTAATACATTATTGTATTAATATTAAAAAAATTAATTGTTTTTATATATAAAATGTATTAATTGAATTTATCAAAATTAAATTTATCAAAAAATAATTTAAGGAAAATTGAAAAATAATTCATTTTTATGGAAATGAATTAAAGCATAATTTTTGCAAAAAACCCTATAATAAAGTGAGGAAAAGAAATATCTGATGAATTCAACTATTTTTCCACTAAATTTTCAATAAATTATTTCATAAAAATAAATCGATAACCTTATTCATAGCTTGCACAAGAATATCATTTCCCTTATGATGAGCAACTTCAATTGATGCTAACATTGTCAAATAAAAGGTGTCACGTTCACTTGACATTGTTTCTGAAATTACCTTCAATATTTGCACGCAATTTTTTGATGATTCAATTTTTTGCTCCATCTGATTGTTGTGCAATTAGAAGAATATATGAATTACTTTCGATCGATCTTTCCAATTCAATCGAAAATTAATTAATTGTGATAATTGAACTAATCATTTACGAATTATAGCTACGATTCAAAATCATTCCAAACAATATCGTGAAGAAATATTAAAATTACAATTAAAAATACAATATAATCAATTTATATGATAATGGCAAAAAGTGAAAAAATTTATTTCAAAAGTTTGTTATATTCTTTTTTCCTTATAATTTCGAATAAATTATCTTAAAATAATTATTTAATTAAATGTGATAATATAACTTACGATTAACATTACTTGGTAAAGCTCCCATACAAATTTCTTCAACCAAATCAATTTCGCAAACATGTGCTGATGGAAATATACCATGTTGATTGGTTCTTAGATTTATTCCTTCAAATTTTCAAATCCTGATTTTATAATTCCATCATAGCCTATTTTGTTTATTAATTTCATCGTTTATTTAATTTAATTAATGTTGTAAAATTTAATAAGTTAAATGGATAACGGATCAATTTCCCTATTGAATATCATTAAAACAATAATCTCTTAAATATTTATTTCCCCGTTTTTAACAATTGTTTTAATTTTTTTTTTGAAATCAGAAGTATTATCGAAAATGTTTTGCTTCATTAATTTTTTAAATGCTAAAGAAAAAAAAACAAATTAATTTTAAACTTAAAACTTTTTAATTGAGTTAGCAGTTTTTGCAAATAAATTATCACCATAACACCAATGATCTTCACATTCTCGTTCTACATGAATCGCGTCACCAATTTCCAGAATTACTTCATCATCATGTCGTGGTATAAATGTTGAATGTACTCGATGTGTTGGATTAAATTGTTCGGAACCGGTACAACAACTTGATACACCTGATGAATCTTCTTGACCAAATTGTGAAAGTACTAAAAGAAATGTATCAAAAGAAATAGTCAGTAAATTAATTTTGATAAAAATTTTAATAACTTTCTAATAATATTAAATTTTAATAAATTTATAAAATTGATTTATTGTTTACAGAATACAGTATGTTTATAGTATATTATAGTTTACAGTATATCGTTTACATTTTACAGTATGACTGTAAAAAGTACTGTACCTTTCTTGCAATGAAATTGATTGCCATTTAGATTACTATCCTCATAATAGCTATCTTCAAATAATAAAGCCGAACGATCCATTACTGAATCTGTACCAAAACAAATCCTAAAATATCGCAAAAATTTTCATTCAAATTTCATTTTACAATTTCAACAAATAATTTTTCGATAATTTTTTCTTGCATTTCATCAGAAATTTAACAATATATTTTGCTAAAAGTTTTAATTAATTAATTAAACCGGACTGAAAAAATTACGATCAAACATTGAACTACATATGAAATAAATTAAATTCCATCGAATTGATCAAATTAATTAATATCAGTATGATAAATGTAAAATACTAGAAAATGATATTATTGGAATTAAATTAAATTCCAATTAATTAGTTGGATTTCTTTCTTCTATCTCATTCATTTGGTTTATTTAAATATTTTCCTTTAATTCATACTTGTGATCTTCTTTAGTAACTGATTGAACAGGGCGAGAAATGATTGTTGATGGTGAAAATAAATTTGTTGACATCGGTGATATTGTTGGATTAAATTGTCCAGTCAATGGAGCAGAAGCAGTAGTGGTTATTGTATTATTATTTGTAGCGGTAGTAATATCAGTATTATTATTAGTTGTAGTAGTGATAACACCTGTTGATAATGAATTAATTGGTAATGGCGGTAAGCGCCGATGAACTGATACGGTTGATGATGGAAAAGGAGCAAGAAATCCTCCAGGTAATACTAAAATTTATTACTTTAAATTTTGATAATTTTCGAAGTAAATTTTGTTAAAATTCAGATATTTTCTGAAAACAAATATTTTCTCTTCTTTAGTTACACATTAATATATGCTAAGGTATTGTCAAATATAAATATTCGATATAATCCGGTAGAAGAAAGAAAGTAGATTGTAAACAGGAAAGAAAAACGGTTGATCATTCAGGATTGTAAACAGGAAAGAAAAAACGATTGGTCATTCAGGATTGTAAACAGGAAAGAAAAAATGATTGGTCATTCAGGATTGTAAACAGGAAAGAAAAAACGGTTAGTCATTCAGGAAAATTTCTGAATGATTTCCTTTTCATTCTTTTGCAAATATAAATTTTCTTTGAAAGCTATCTCAAAATTTGTTATTTATTTATCAAATAAAATTTTGAGCTAAATTTTCTTATCATTAAACGATAAATAATGCTACGAACTTATGTTAATCAAATTCTAATTCAGCTAATATAAAGAACGAAATAATACAAACAATAAATAAGATATAATAATTTTAATTTTTAGTTTGATCAATAAAATAACATTTTGTAGGTTTCTTTTTGATACTGAATGAAGTAGTAAAGATAAGATATTTAAATTATCGAACTATTGCAATAATTGCATCCCAATGATTATTATCTTATCTTATCAATCTATCACATTGATAGTAAATTGTGATAATTCTAAACAAAATTTAAATTTCAAATTTCGGTTTTATTTTTCATAGATTTCTTATGCTTTCCTTTTCAGTATTTTCTATTCTAAAGAAATGAATTCACAATGAAATAAATAATTCTACGTTGATGACGCAGTATAAATAAAAATTTCCAACTTTTAATCAATAAAATACATACTGATGATACCCACATACACCCACATACACATATGATACACAATTTCTAATGAACACACACACACACACACACACACACACACACACACATACATACTATCTAATGAACACATATACACAACTTGTAATCAACCCACATATACACATACTATCTAATGAATACATATACATCTATTGAACACACACATACATACTATCTAATAAACACATATACATAACTTCTAATGAACACATACACACATACACATATGCAACTTCTAATGAACACATATAACACATACATACTTTCTAATGAACACATACATATATACACATACACAATTTCTAATGAACACAGATATACACACATACATATTTTCTAATGAATACATATACATAACTTCTAATGAACACACATACACAACTTCTAATGAACACATATACATAACTTTTAATGAACACACATACACACACACACACACACACACACATACACATACACAATTTCTAATGAATATACATCGAAGTGCAGAAGTAGAGAAAATAATAGGTGACAAAATGGTAATAAAAATGAATTCGATTAAAAAATGATTTTAGTTTAGTTTGGAATGTGAAATAGATTGGATATTTAATTATTCATCTTTCATTACAGTTCCTAAATTTCTCTTTTCAATTATCCATTTCAAATATTAATTAATTATACTTTCATTATTAAATTATAATTGTTATATTTGCTGACAAAAAGAAAAGGTTGAAAAAAAAAGAGAGAAATTTAATTAATCAATGGCTGTCAATAATGAAAAACTATCGTTAGATATTAAATGAAATTTATGATTAAAGAAGAAAAAGAGAGAGAAAGAAGTGATAAAAAATTGCATAAAATTTTGTGTACATTATTTACAATCTTTACTAATAATATTTATTATATTAACTAATAATTAATAATTATTAATTAATAACGGTGCTGACATGATGTTTGATGAAAACTAAACGTGGCAATAATAGCAGATGAGAAAATAGATAATAATTAATGGTGATGATAACAAGTGATAATAGTGATAATAAAAAGAAAATAGCAATAGCAGCGATGATTGATTGATCGATTGTAATTACGGCAAAATGCTGCTAAATAAATACCATTTTTGAAATGGATAATATATATATGTAAGAATGGATTGGAATCAAGAAAATAAGTATAGTTAGGATTAAAATTGAAAAAGTGGAAATGGATGAATTGTGGAAGAGTGAATGAATTTGATAACATAAAATGGATAATGAGAAGGAAGAAGAGCGGTGAGACATTTGGATGATCGGTGAATCAATAAAAAGTAAAATGCGCCCTATATTATACTTTCTTTTGGCTTCTCTCGTAAGACTATTTTAGGATTGTTTAAGGCCTAGCATTATATTTCATCCACACATTTCTCAAATATGCATGCAAGAAGACATAAGAAAGAATGACTGTCCTTCAATTTCCTCTTTCTTCTTTCAATCCTTTCTTGTCTCTTTCTCTCTGTTTCTTAAATAGCTATATATTAGAGTGATTTCAATTGGAAAAGTTAAAATTATAAATCAAATTGATTGAATTTGAAGTAAAATTGAATATTTTACCTATTAATAAGTAATTTAATTAAAATTTAAATAATTTGCAATGTAAAATATTCCAATAATTTTTTAATTAATAATGATAATTATCATAAATGTGAATTTTAGCTTTAGAAAATTTGAATATATGCTAATATATAATCTCTTTATCAATTGTTGATAATGATAAATTATTCCATTGAAATTTCTCAATGACGAGCAATTAATCATTGGTTTAATGATTATATTAAGAGATAAAAGAAATAATAGTTATTTTAGTAGAAGTAGTAATAATAGCAGTGGGGATTATTTAGCCTAATACCACAAGAGATTTAGGTAAACATTTCGGATATACTAAATAACGGATAGCTAATAAACTATATTAAAATATAAAAAGCTAATTAAAGTTAAAAATATATAAAGTTAAACATATTTAATGTAGAGAAAAAAAGGGACGAGAAGAAAACTATTGTTAATATTCTTAGGCTTGATAAAAAAAATACAACTTGACAATGTTAGGCTCGGCAAATGGTATAAAAAAGACATATACATATGTATTAGGCCGTGCTAAAATAATCCCATTTCATTGTACAAAATGGCCTATATTAACGAATTAATAGTAAAATAAGATGAAAAAGAATTTTTATGTTTCGTTGATTTTAGGAAAGTATTATTGTTGAAAAAAATATTACAATAATTCAGTTCTTAAGTTATTTTATTTAAAACGACGAAATTAGAAAATTTATTAATTACTGATTTTTCTAAATGATAATGGTTACTATATTAATGTTTCAGCATTGTTAAAATCAGTGTATTTAGCATAATTTGGTTCTTTTGTAGCGATAAAATTAGTCAATTAAGCGATTATCATTCCGAGAAATTGATTATTTACTGAATGAATCAGTAATTAATTTTTAGCATTAATTAAAATAAAATGAAAGTTGCGAAGAAAAGATGAAATGATATAAACTGATGTATGAAATTATAACCTTGATGTGATAAATTTTTAAGTTTGAAAGAGAAGCTATAAACTGACGTGATAAATTTTTCAGTCAGAAAGAAGTTCTAACCAACCTATCATGATAAACTTTTCAGTTAGAAAGAGAAATTGTAACCTGACATGATGAAATTTTCAGTCAGAAAGAGGGAGAGAGTGAGAGAGAGAAAAGTTCAATGTATTCGATGGTTTGATTAGTTTTGATAATTTCTAAACAGTTATATCTATTTTAATTCATAGCAAATATTTTGTCTTATTTAATTTAAATCATAAAAAGAATTTGCTAAACTATCCTTTTTCAATTGATACTTTTCTCAAAAATAATTTAAATTAATTTGGATTAATTGGAATAATTTAAATGAGTAGTGATAAGTGATAAGAGAATATACCATTAAGTGATGATTGTATATCATTGAATGGTAACGATGGTACTGCTAAACGTCGATTATCCAATTCAATTGCTTCTACGGTAAATTTTGTTAAATCGCCACTAAAATAAAATCAAATCTAATCAAATATTTTGAAATTTTATATTAAATATGAAAATGGCTGAAAATTTTTATTGAAATCAAAAATTGAAAATAATTAATGAAAGATTAAAATAAATTTTAAAATGTTCTCATTTTCTTTTTTTTTTGCAAAATATTAAACAATTCATTAATAATGTAATTGAAGACAAACTTTAATATTTATTATAGTATATTATTATTATAATATATAACAAATAAATAAATATTATAGTATATAATAAATATTAAAGTATTATATTAATAAAAAAGTTAAGTCTGCCGTTTGGCATAATTTCATGGCGTAAATGATAACACATAAATGATAACACATAAGCATAATTTCATTGTAAATTGAATTAATTTCAAAAAGCTGTCACTTTTTTTAAATTTTCATTTATTATTTGAAAGATACCGTCACTTTACAATGTATTTTTTGTTTAATTTAGTAGAAAAAAAGCAATGAAATGAAATTAAAAATAATTTTTAATTAAATACAAATAAATTTTATGTTATTTTCGATTACATTTAGTAAAGAAATTGCTTGAAAAATTTTTTAATGCTAAATTTTATTGGAAAGTTTTTTAATTAATTAAATATTTGATAGCTAAATTAAAAACTTAAAAAGACCAAAAGAGAAGGATAAAGTGAATTAACAAATTAAAATTTTTGATCTTTAGCGATCAAAGCTCTTTTTCTAAGATTTCAAACAAATTTTTCGAAACGAAATTTGGAAGTCTTTTGTTTTAAAATAAAACTTAAATAAATGAGCAAAATATTTTCGCTGATTACAATGAATGAAATTATAATGGAAAGAAATAATTTTTAATTGATAAATAAGATTAACTATTAATCATCATTAATAATTATCATTGTGTAAAATATTGGTATTACTTTAATATTTCTCTTACTGATAATCTTAATCTCCTAATTTTACTGATAATTTCATCGTAAACGTATTATTCGTTATATTTAAATTCTCTTTAATTTTAGTAAACAATAAAATATACTCTTTATAAATTATTTTCATCATTCAATGAATCATTTTCTTTTTAAATTATAGTTTTAATAATTTGGATTTCATCAAATTCTATTAATTCTTCTTTTTTTCATTCATTAAATTTTTCATCCAATTCATTACGAATAATTTATTGTTTTAAAATTTTTAATTTAATTATGATTTGAATAAGAAAAAGTGATGAAACTAACGATTTTGGAGAGATTGTAAAAGCTCTTTGATCAGTTATTATTTCATCAACATTTGATATTTCCGATGCTTTTTGAAGCCATATTCGAGCAATTTCATTTATTTGTTGAGCATATTCACAACAATTATCCCATAAAGTTATTGGTGAATATGATTCATCATCCATTATTTCATTATCATTATCTATATTAATAAGCAAAAAATATAGCGCAATTCGAATTAAGTAAAATAAAATTTAATATTTTAATATTTAATAAAATTTAAGTAAAATAAAAAAATTTAATAATTCTAGTAAAATTTAATTCTACTTCATACAACAGCGCTAATTTATTAAATTTAATAAATGCTTATGCTAATTATTATTAATTACGCATTGATTAATACATGATGATGAATCAGCCAAAAATATTATATAGCAATAATTTAGTTTATTGATAATATATAGCAATGATTTCATTTACAGATAATCTTGATTTCTTAAATTTACTGATAATTTCATCCATACTTTAAATTAACCTGCTTTAGAATGATTCCATTTTATACACTTACCTTTACATATTAATAAATGCGTAATATATTACTTGCTCACCTGGTTTATATTTTTCGATTGATAAAGTTGCACTTTCATCGCTATTTGGTGATAATTTTGTAGTATCATTACGAACTGAATTTCTGACATCAAATGTAAACCCATAAAAATTCGATAATTCGTTTCTTTGAACCGGAAGAATCTGATCCACGAAGATTTCATCATCATCATCATTACTAATACCATTATTACCATGACCACCATTACCGTCATCATTATTATTACCAATATTCTTAATATTTTCGCATGTTTCATATTCGATATCACTTTTATCATTCATATTCGGACAATACATTTCATGCTGTTTGAAATTTGATAAATCTCGAATATCAACATAATGATGCTCATCATTTGTATTAGCAATCGTTTCCGTAATGAATGAATATCTCTCTTTCTCGAAATTGATTAATGTATCCGGTATTTCATTGAATATATTTAAAGAGTACGATCGACGTAGTGGCAAATTAACAAAAGTAGAATGTTGATTTTTTTCTTGATATGATAAAAATTTATCACCATTTTGATTGTCGATTTCATTCTTTTCTTTTATCATATCTTCTTCATCATCGGTTACTTTTTTTAGAACATTTAAAAATGTTGTCGGACGTTCACATTTCATCATCTCTTCCTTGATATCATTCCTCATTTGTTTGTTTTCATCAATATGTAAATTATTGATATGCTGCTGTTGTTGTTTTTGTTGATCACTGATAAATGAATTATCGCTATTATCATTATTATGTGAGGAGAAAAATACTGGTACTGTAACTTCGTGAGCACAAATTTCATTATGTAAATGATCATTTCCATGTGTATCCTCTGGTACTACATCATCTGCGCATCGAATCCATTCATCATCCGATGTATCACTTCCATCACTCAATAATGATTGTTTCATTGTTTCTGGTTTCGATGCATATTTACGACAACCGGGTGAGGAACATCTACAAAAGATACTTGATAAGTTTTATATTGAAATAAAACTGAAACTGCAAAAAAAAGATATTGAAATTGGAAAGTGTTATAATTGATTGACTTAATTATTCAATGAAATTTCATTTCAATTTTATCATTTTTTTTACAAATAGTACAAATCTAAATGCAAATGATATTATCATCATTTGATAAATTTATAATCATTTCAAAATTATCTCATAATATCAATTTCCTTTTTAATTTTATTCATTATTCATTATTCATTTATTAAATTTATTCAATGATGTAAGATTTCAAAAAGTAAAATTAAAAACTTAATGGCTATTTTATGTTAGCATATTTAATCACAGTGTAAATTAAAAAAATCGATGTGTTTATTTTCTATTGTTTGGAAATTTGAAAATTTATAACAAATTAACAAACCTGTTATAATGATTTTGTATAACAGAATCCACATATGATGTAATCATATGATCATGACAACTAATACTTTGTCGCATAGCTATTCCGGAATGATCCACTGGTGATGGTACTCTCGTAATCCAACCCATTTCAGTTTCCCTATTAAATTATTTGATAATTTCACTGATATTTCTTTTTTAAAGTGCATAGAAATTCCCACACAATTAAACTAAATAAATAAGAGAAGAAGTATGGATAATACTTAAATATTAAAATTACAAATTAAACTTCCAACTTTAAATAATTTGTTTGATTGACGTTTATGGAAGATAAAATAAAATTAAGCGATAATGATTACATTTATCGATAAATTAATTGATATAGGAAAAAAAGATGAAATCCAACCATAAATCCAAACTTCCAAGTGATTTTGATATATTTACAGATGTCGATATTACATCACAATTTCCATGTAAGTGATGCTGTCCAGTGGCAGAATTTTCACGGAATGTTTCATTTGCAAAATTTACCAACGCTTCTGGTGTCCATTTATTGATTGTTTGTTCGGTTTCCGATAATTCGTCTGCAAAATTTATTTCCTCCTCTTCCCTGCAAAATTTTTTCAAATCAAAAATTTGATTATTCATTAGAAGAAATAAAAATTAAGAAATAGAAAAGAAAAAAGTTTATAAAGTCTAAAAAAAATTTCACCGATTTGATGATGGACTGGCACCATACATACGAAGCGAATCATTTTCAGAGATAGCTCTTGGACATGTCTCATTTGGTACTAAATTTGAACGTGACATATTATCAACTTGACCCGATATTGGACCATTAAAATCCAGAATACTTGTACGCATTGGTTCATCATATTCGGATAAATCAGCACTAAAATATATGTTAAAATTAAGCAATCACTTACGCCATGGCTCTTTAATTAGTATTCTTTTTAAAAGTTATGAAGGAAAGAGACGTTTAAGGTACTACCATTGTAAAAGTGACTGTTTAGATTTTTCATTCGCCAAATTTTCTTCATCGAAATAAACTTCCTCTGAAGTTGATAATTCTTCTGATGTCTGAAGATAAATATTATTTGGAAAGAAATTTGTTTAAATCACTCAGTGCAACAAACAGTTTTAGCAATACAATTCGTGGTCCTTTTGAGAAAGTACAAGTGTCTTAACCTTTAACCTCTATTAATTTCGCTTATTTTCTCTATACTCTAAAGCTTTGTTATATTGAAAAATTGTTAATTTAGCACCGTAAAAACTTATCGCACAATTTTGCAATTATTTGTATTTATTACTTAAATAAATATTCTAAAAATTGCTTAAAAAAAATATAATATATTTTAACTAAAACAAAAAATGTCATTGTCTTTTTTAATTAAATAATATTAAAAATTATTTCACTTTTTTTTCTCAAACTAAAATTATAACATTAATTTATCAAAATAATGATAAATGCAAAGGAGAAAAGAAAGAAGGAAATGATATTGGAAAATGATAATTAAATAATTGTAAAATAATAATTAAATACATGTTGCTCGTTATCAGCAATAAATTCCGGTGCTGACCAACAACAAGTAAATGGTGATGATCTTGCTTGATCTAAATCATCATCACTTTCAAAATCCATTCCATATTTGAAATTATTTGCTGGTATTGACCAATTATCGATAATGTTTATATTTGATTTTGTCTAAAAATTAAATTCTTTTGTCTAAAATTAATTGACAGCAAAATTATCCTCTAATTATTAAATCAATCATTATCAAACAAATTTGTTTGCCAAAATTTCAAACCTTTTTTTAAAAAAAATTATAACAGAAAAAATCTACTTGAATTTAAAAAAATTATTGCATTATTGTTAGAGAAAAATAGATTAAGCAATTAGCTAAATTATCATCCAAATGACAATGATAATTTTATTGATAAGTGTTGATAATGTTTGTGAGTTTAACAAATGCCCAATAATCTTAATGCTAATTGTATTGTCATTTTTGTTGATTAACTAATTGAAATCGAATAGCATATAATTAATTCATATGTAAATAAATAGAATAAAATTGTTAGCTAATTTTACTACCAGCAATTTGAGAATTCTTCATATACTGAAATAAATAGTATAATGTATCAATTATATATGATAATTAATTAGGAATTATTTACTAGTTAAAGTAACCTTAAATATAGGTAATGGATGATTATAATATGCTCGATTTTGTGAAAAATATGGTACAACAGATGCGGAAGTTTCTTCATCAGTTGCTGCTTGTGTATTGATCATTCCATCAGTTAAACATTTACCATTACTTGTATTAATAAATGTATTGTCATCGAAAATTTCTCCATCTTTAAAAAATTTTTCAAAATTATTAAATTTAATGCCTTCCTATTTTTAATTTGCTTAGTAAACAATAATCATATAATCATGAGTGTAAAATCATGGCAACTAATATTTTGACGCATAGCTATTTCAGAACGATCAACTGTTGATGATACTCTCGTAATCCAATCCATTTCAATTTCTCTATTAAATTTTTCCTAGTAATTGAATCTGATAATTCGGTCAAATTCGTATGAAATAATCATTAATCTATTAACGGATAAATTAATTACTAAATAAACATCTGCCTATTATCCTCCATTCGATCGATCTTAATCTTATTTCACCTTTTTTTTTTCACTGAAGATTAAAAAATACCAGCGCAATGGTGTTTTTGAATTGATGATATTGATTTTGATTTGATAAGTCCTCGTAAACATGGATGAATCGCAAATTCTTCATCACTATCACTATTCGAATCATCATCCTTGATAAGAAAGAAAAAGAATTGAAAAATGAGGAAAAGAAAGCGAAATGATTAAATTGCAAATGAACTGAAATTTAATAATTAAATTAATTAATACTATCACAATCTTCAATTATAATCACAAAAAACCTATTATAATTATAATTTCGAGAAAAGAAGAGTAAGAAAGGAAAACGAAAACATAGTAATAATTTGATAGGAAATAAAACCTTCATTATACCACCATTTCCGGTATTATTGATTGGTGATATAACCTGCTTATCATCATGTTGTTGAAGTAATAATAATAATGATGGTGATTTATGATTGCTTTGTTGATAACTCATTTCTGCTTCGGATGACCAACTTCTGATGAGAAAATTAATTTAACAAAAAAAAAAACAAAAACTCATTTTCTAATTGTTTTGAATTTTTAAAAGAAATCAAAAATTTAATTTAGCTTACTCGGATAATTAACTTTTCCTTCTTCTTTTAAAAATTTTCAAAATAATACAAAAATTAGAAATAATAAAGTTATACATATCAGCATCACTATCACAACCACTTGAATCATCACCACCACATCCACCATCACAATCACCGATACTACTCAATTCACCACTGGAATGTTTATTTGAATGCTCATCCGGATTATTTATACACATAACCATATTTCCGGAATTCATCCTAAAACGGAAAAAAGCTTAAAGCTAAAACTATTTAAATTTATTATTTGTCGTTTCGCTTGAAATTTAATATTATTAAAAATTTAACAAACAAATAAAATTTTTATTTAATAAAAGAAAATATTAGCAAAAATGATAGCAAAAAAAATTGAAATTATAATAAAATTTTCAAAAAAAAAAAACAATAAATTTGCGTTATTAAATGAAAAGTTAATTAGTAAGTAATTCAAAAAAATAATAGAAATATAAAAAAGGAAGAAAGGTATATTATGAATGAATGCAAAAGAAGGGAATAAAGAAGAAAAGGAAAAAGATATTCAATAATATATTATCAGAAATAATTAGGTAAGAGGAAATTATCCTAAAAAAATAATGATTAAATATAATATCATTGTGGAAAAAACAATGATTAGATATTAAAAAACATATAGTTAGAATAGAAAATTATTTTTTATAATATATATTTAAAAACAAGTATACATACATGTACATATACATATGTTTAAAAATTGATAAATGAGAAGGATGTATATTTAAAAATTGATAATGATAAGGATGAAAGAGAGAAATATCAGTGATAAATTAATTCTGAATTTCAAAAAGAAAAATAGATTTAAAAAACGAAGAAAATCCGACAATTTTATTTCTATGTAAAATGAAGTGATAATCAAAAGAACGAGAGAGCGAGAGAGAGAGGAAAAGAAAGAGAGAGAGAGAGAGATAGATAAGGGATAAATATTCGTTTTACGTCATTTGTTTCGTTTTTCATTGAAATAAATATAAAATGAAATAAAGGTGAGAGAAAGAAAGAGAGGGCGAAAGAAGAAAAGAAAGAAATTCAATAAAAGGTATAAAAAGAAGTGAAAATTTGAAATAGAAATATAATAAAAGGCCTAATGTAAAATGTGACGTAATCTATGAAATGGATCGAAATCGAAATTCTATTGATGGAAGAATGGATAAGAGTAGATGGATAGAAATGAGAAGAGAAAGAAGGAATAGATGGATAGATAGCTAGTTGAATGATTGAATGAACAACATGGCATTCGATTGGAAAAAGAGCCTAATATAGGCTAGGCTCTTTTTGTCAATATCATATTTTCCTCAATCTACTTAGTATTTCGTAATATCGAGATGAAAATCTCTTCGTTCCTTTTCTTCCTCTCTCTCTCTCTCTCTCTCTCTCTTTCTTTCTTACGAAAATTTTGAATATAAGCCCAAAAAAGAGAGAAAACATTTTGCTTTAGGGGGTTTTTAGTGGTAAGAATAGAAATATGTGTTTAAATATGGTTATTGAAGCAAATTATTGAATTCTTTCTTCCTCCTACTCTCTCTCCTCTTCCTCTTTCCCTTTATTTTCCTCTCTCTTCTTCTTCCACCACCCCTCCTCCTCCTCTTCCACCTCTTCCACCTCCACGTGAACCATTTTCTTTTCTTAACACCTCTAGAAATCATTCATCAATATATTAAAGGCTATAAACCTTTGCCCAATTTTTAATAACAGGCTTGAAAAAAAGAAGCCAGAAAATAAATATGGTAATTGCTTTCAAAAATCAACAATCAATCATCATTTTCGTATGCTACCAAAATACAAACACATATATGTAGAATTTACATATTTCTGACAACTTTTATTTTTGCTTAAGCTTTTACTATGATGCTATAATTATGATGGAAAATCTTTTTTGAAGTTTTAAGAAATTCAATTTTGATTTGTGATATTTGATTGACGTTATTAATCGTTCATAAAAAGAAATTATTAAATGCAAGTACTTTTGATAAGCAAAATCAATTTTGTTATTAATTTCCTTTAATTATTTAATTAGTCGTCTCAAATTAACTTCTTGAAATAATAAAAGCTAATGCAGCATTAATTGCATCGTAAATAATTCGAGAAAATCGAAAGAAAATATACTTTAAACATAATAATTAGGCTATTATTTTTTTTTTGATTAATTAGGAAATAATCTAAAAAAAATAAAATATTATTTAGAAATTGAATATTTTATTAATTATTCTTCCATTTTCTCGAATAATTCATTTATAAAAGTATTTAAAATTTATTCAAACTGTACGGTTTACTTTTTACAAAATGAAATGATTTTTGATGAAAAATTAAATTCCCAATTTTTTTGAAATTATTAAAAGTTTGTTAAGAAATTGATTAGTACAGTATCACCGATCGATCATTGCGAATTATTTGATATGGTGTGCTGCAACTATCATTCGGTATTTCGTTTCTATTCTTCGAATTTTTGATAATTCTCTTTTCTTTCATATGGTTGATTTTAAGGAAGGAATGTTATGAGTGGATTATAATAGGAAACAAAGATTCTGCGTGTGATTTGTCTACAGTATATCAGATTTTAAACAAATAGCAATACGGTATGATTACGTGTGATTAGTACAGTATATAAGTATGTATACAGTATGTAAGTTTCAAACAAATAACGGGAAGTTTTGAACAAATAATAACGGTATGTTTTTTAAGAAAAATATGGATCGATCCATTGACTTACTGCTACGGTAAATGAATAATTGAATGCAATTTACGACAAGACTCTTATCGGAAGCAAAAAATTAATATGTAATTAATCTATAGCAAATTACTTTTAAACGAATATTTAAAAAACAAATTACATTTACAGTACCAATAATGAATTAGAAAATAGTGATTAAGCATTATTTTAAAAAAAAGATTACTTGGTTAGAAAGAAAAATTAACGTTTTGGATCATTTATTTTTACTAATTAAAAAAAAATAGAATTTAAAAGGAATTAATTAATTAAGAGCAAAATAATTAAAAATAGAAATTTAAAAGAATAGCATTAATTCCCAAAAAAGGAAAAAGAAATTTTGATTTCTTTTTATTTAATTCAAAATTGTAATAATTAATTAGTCAATTGTTATGTAAATAATTAATTGAAATTAAGTTGGATTTAAAAAAAAAAAATAAAATAAGAAAAAATGCTGAATACAAGCGGATTTATTATTAGTTAGCGACAATTTCAATTTATGCAACATAGCGATTTTTTAAAAACGAACATTATATGTGAAGGAGGCATTTATTAATTAGTATATATCAACATAGATTAGATAGATAGTAGATAGATAGATAGTAGATGGATAGATAAATAGATAGATAGATAAATAGATAGATAGATAGATAGATAGATAGATAGATAGATAGATAGATAGATAGATAGATAGATAGATAGATGGATAGATAGATGGATATAATCAAATAATTTCTTTTTCCATTGTCGTACATATTTGACAGTCTTTTTATCGCATCATTCGTTATCTTCGTTTTTGCTTACGATTCTTTCGATAATGCCTTTAATCGTTTACTGTTACAATTTTTGCAATACAAATGTTCATCCAATGGATAACATCTATAATTAACAAATTATTTCAAACAAAAAGAAAAATCATTTTATACGTTCTAAAAATTTTATTATTATTTCTTTAATTCATTATGTATAAAAATTAATTAAAACCAAATATGTTTTGGGTGCAAAAATTGATTGCAGAAATGCTAATGAACAATTTTATATATACGATTATCATACTAACCACATTTAAATTTCTTCACTCAAGAATTTACTTATCTTTTCTTGGAACTTCGAATTCGAAACTTTTACCCTTGTCCTTCAATTTCAGAATTTAGTTGTACGTGACAATCTTCACATCGATAGCAATTAACATGAAAATTTTTAGCCATTGCAACAATTCGATCGGATTCTTCATCATCTTTATCGGGCATAAATTGCTTCGAACATATTGAACATCGAGGTGTAGATTTCCTGAAAAGACGGAAAGGAAAAAGAGGAAAGAATAAATAAATCCTTTATGACATCAAGTTATGAATTAATTTAAAACAAAAAGAAAGAAACGGAAGGTTGACTTACTCATGGAAACACTTAACACAATGTATGTTATTAGCTGAATCAGCGGAAAACGGAACATCATCCAAGCATTTGTTACAAACGGTACATACGAAACATTCCGCATGATATGAAGAACCTCTTGCACGTAACATTTTTCCCCTCTTAATTGGTTTATCGCAATTAGTGCATTGTTCTAACGTTTTCTGCAAATGTTTTAAGCTTAAAACTTTATCAATTAAAAAAAATATGCTAAATTTTTGAAACAATAAACAAAAATGGTTAATTATGTTGCAAGTAAACAAAAAATATTAGCAATAAACTGTAAATAATTCAATAATTAGTTTAGAATACTTTTTTCTCTCTTTCAATTTTCAAAAATTAATTTTCAAACAATGTTCGAACTTTTGTTTAAATAAAAAATTACTCTTTTTTAGCGTTGTTTTTTAGAGTTCTTTTAAAAACTTTCTCTGTCAATAGTATATAATTACTAATTAAAACAAGCTAATTTAATTTATGCAAAAAATTCATTATGATTACTGTTCTAAAATTGCTATATTACAAGTATACTAAGAAATATTCTTTGGATAATAAACTAAAATTATCACCACATAATCATCCTCACAAAGCGGTTGACCGCCAACATTGTAAAATGAGCCACCAAGTTCTTTGTTACATTCCTTGCAAGTGAAACATTTCATATGAAACGCTTGACCTAAAGCTGTACAACCAGGCTCATCATTTATACTTTCACCACATTTATAGCACTTATCTGAAATTTGACTAAAATTAATTTGACTTAAAGAAAGACTTGGCAAGAAAATTAGCCTAGAAGAATAAACAAAAGTTATGAAATTATTTTGCTAATATCTTTCTTTATAGCAACTCTCTCCCATATATTTATTCAAATATTTATATATATATATTTTTTTTGAAAATTTGCAAATAATAAATTATACAATAACCGAAACTAACCGATAAAATCAAATGGAATTTTAGTTTTCAGGAAATTTGAACAATAAATTAAATTCTGCTTGAATTAAATTTCTTCTATTATTACTATATTTAGGCTTGCTTTTCCTATCATTGCTTTATTTAAGGTATTATTTTACAATGATTATATAACGGAAAATTTGGTTTTTGTAATATAGTCTTGTGTAATTGTGTAGGATTGAAATTTTTGCATGGATTGTAATTAATTTAATGACTTATATTAACTTAATAACCAACCAGCATTATTTCCGGATTCTTGTTGTTTTTCCTGCGTTGACATTGTTGTTGCATATAATAACGATAATAATGATAATTATAGAATGATAATGATGAAAAAGAAGAAAATGGCTTTCAGGCTAACCGTTTCTTTGTTATTGAAACAATGTAACATAAGACTTGGTAGCTTAAATTTAAGTATACTTCACTATATAATCCCAAACTTATTTCATTCATTTCTATAAACAATAGAAGGTGTAGTTAAGACGTGAAGAATTCCTGTCCGTTTGCCATCACATATTGATAATATTATGCTAATACTCATTCTCTTTCTCTCTCCGTTTCTTTAACTTATTTTTATATTAAATTTCGTTTAATTCCATGTTATCCTAAATTTAAAAAAAAAAAACTCTTTTTTAACACTTTTCTCATTTCTCTTTCTCCTTTTCTCTCTCTCTCTCTCTCTCCCTCTCTTTCTAAAAAAAAGAAAACAATCTTTTATCATTTCGAAATTTAAACGATAAACATTCATTTCAATAAACAACTTTCACTAAAAAATGAAATATGAATGAAAGCATTTTAAAATTGATAGTGAAATTTTTACCTATCCGAGAATGATCATATAATGGATTTTCACGAGCAATTTAATTTTCGCATAGTTTACCAAAATTACCAATATTGCAGAATTTTTCAAACAATTTATTTTAACTTAATTTAAAATTGAATTCATCAGATTTCGATCACATTATACTTTTGCACTTATTTTCATCCTATTTTTATGGCTTATTATCATTTGCTTTATTACTCTATTGTTTGCGTAATTATTTCATTGTAAATTAAATGTCAAATTAATTTGAAACTTCCTATAATAACGATGAATTAATATGATATTACAATAAACACATAAATGTTTTTAATAGTCTCATTTTCAATATCATATCCTTTTTCAATATCATACCCTTAAAACAGAGAAACTCTGTTATAAGCTTATCAAAGCTTTTGTTTATTAAAAATGTTTTCATATTAAAATTTAAATTCATTTTTGAAAACGAAAAGAGCGTAATTATCGGAATGTTCTAATAATGTCAATTTATCGCTTAACGTTAATATATAAAATGATTGAAGATGTCAGCAATAAATGATTTTTGATTTATATTACTTAATTTCTAAATATCTAATTGCATTACAAATGCAAAACATCAACCATCGTCATTTACTTTTCATTTATTTTTACTGATATTGACGTCGATCGGCTTCACTCATTTCATTATCATTAATAAAAGGTTAGTCAAATGTCAGTGAAATGTGATATAAGTTAACAGGAAAAATATATAATATGTATAATATTTCGGTATATATTTCGACAAACATATAGTGTGTTTATTTATTCAATGCAAAAAAATAGCTCCTTCGCAAATTCCTGAATTAACAACAATCATTTGAAATCATCGTTAAATTATCACTCATATATTTTTTGTGTTACATAGCAATTCCAAATCATGGAGTGATAAATGGATAAACTTAGCTAAGCTAAGTATTGTTTATTGATAACCTATAAGTATTTTCAAAGAGCCGCCATTAGAAGTTATTGTTAAGAATTTTAAGCATAACAGAACTAAAACAATAATTGAAAAAATTTTCTCAAGTGCTTTTACATTCAAATATTAGCATAAATGATAAAGAAAGATTTCATTCCAATAATAATTCTGCTGAGGAAAAAACAAAAGTAATTTTTCAAGTATTGATAAATTTTTAATCAATAATCCATAAGAAAACTTTATATGACATTTGAATGAGTTATTTGATTAAAAGCTATCAGAAGAAATGATTATTTTAAATATTCCTATATGTTGTAAGCATGAAGAATTCACAAGTTGATTTTTAAATTTGACGAATAATTTGAATAGCAATATATGCATCATAGCGATTTTTTAAAAACAAATATTAAATGTAAAAGAGACATTTATTAATTAATATATATCAACATAGATTTGATGGATAGATAGATGGATCGATAGATAGATAGATATTATCAAATAATTTCTTTTTTCCATTATCGTACATCTTTAACAGTCTTCATTTTGCATCATTCGTTATCATCTTTTTTGCTTACGATTCATTCGGTAATGCCATCAATCGTTTACTGTTGCAAATTTTGCAATACAAATGTTCATCCAATGGATAACATCTATAGTTAACAAATTATTTTAAACAAAAGGAAAAATCATTACATGCGTTTTAATAATTTCTTCAAAATTTTGCTCTATTTTTTTGAAATTATTTGAATAATAATGAAATTTTAAATTGAAATTATCTTACACTTTGATGAATGTAAATTAAAATTTAGTAAATTATATTTAAAAATGCAAAAGATTCATTTTTCATATTATTATCATTTCTTTAATTCATTATGTATAAAAATTAATTAAAACCAAATATGCTTTGCATGCAAAAAATTGATTGCAAAAATGCAAATGAACATTTTTATACATAAGATTATCATACTGACCGTATACATTCCATTTTTTTGGAACTTTAAATTTCTTCAATTCCAGAATTTACATATCTTTTTGTGTAACTTCAAATTTGAAACTTTTTACCCTTGTCCTTCAATTTCAGAATTTAGTAGTGTGTGACAGTCTTCGCATCGGAAGCAATCAACATGAAAACTTTTATCCATTGCAACAATTCGTTCTGATCCTTCGCTATCATTCTCGGGCATAATTTGCTTCGAGCATACTGCACATCGCGGAGCATATTTACTGAAACGATGGAAAGGAAAGAGAGGAAAGAATAAATAAATCTTTTATAAAAAGCAAATACTAAATTAAAATTGCGTGGAATAGTTTGAAATTTCAGCAATTTTCTTTTTCAGGTTAAAAAATGTAAATTGAAAAAAAAATACCAATTATAGTTTAAACAATAATTACTTCTTTTTGTTCAATATTAGAATGAAATTTAAATAAAATAAAAACAAGCAAAAAGTTAAAAGGGTTTTTGAAAATTTTAATGACAGCTGCTTGCTATTATTTTGTTTAAAAAGGGAAAAACAAATGTTTAAATAAAAAGTAAGAAAAAATTCTTCAATATTTCATTCCTTCCATTTCTGTTAAATCTCATTTCAGTGATCATTTTGTTAATTAAATTCATTCCATCAAAAAAATAGATAATAATTAAAACGAAGGATATCCTGCATAATGTGTACATAACTTCGTTCACTTTGTTTATTGTTAGCAACCATTAGTGAATGCTAAGCAAAAAATGGAAAATATAACAACAAATTGTTTGTTTGTTTGTTTGTTTACATAAATTGCTATTTAATTCACAAATTGTGCTTAGTTATTTAATTATTAAAATGTATGCCATCTTAGACGTTTATTGCGCAAATAAAATTTAAAATGATTTACTATCTTTTAAAATTCCATCTCTTCAACAATAAAATATTTTGGGAGAATAAATTAGTTAAAAATTATAAGAGTTAATGAATTATTCAAGGACTACTTTTAACTATACAAAAATTCCAAGGAAAAGTCTTTTCTTTACTATTTACTTCTTAAATTACATAAAGATCACTTACTCATGGAAACACTTAACGCAATGTACGTTATTAGCTGAATCAGTGGCAAACGGAGCTTCGTCCAAGCATTTCTTGCAATCGATACATACGAAACATTCCGCATGATAAGCAGAACCGGTTGCACGTAACAGTTTCCCCTTAATTGGTTTACCACAACTGGTACATCGTTCTAACGTTTTCTGCAAATGTCTTAAGCTTAAAACTTTATCAATTAAAAAAAAATATGCTAAATTTTTGAAACAATAAACAAAAATGGTTAATTATGTTGCAAGTAAACAAAAAAATATTAGCAACAAACTGTAAACAATTCAATGTTATAAATAAATTTTCAAACAAAATTAGATCTTTTGTATAAATAAAAAATCGCTCTTTTTTAGCTTTGTTCTTTTGTGTTTCGTTTTGAAAACCTTCTTTAGCAACAATATATAATTAATAATAAAACAAGCTAATTAAAACAAACTAATTTTATAATTAATAATTAAAACAAGCTAATTTCACAAATACTAGGCGAATCGATAAAGAAATGAAAAATATCATTGAAAGATTTCAATACGTTAATTTATAAAATAAATTAATAAATAAATAATTCGATGGTACGATTGAATTATGCGAGAAAACAAACAAACAACAAATTTTTTGATCTTTGCGATATACAATTGAAAAAAAGGGCAATCATTTTCAATATTATTATATTTAAATAAAATATTTTGCAACTGAAAAATTTTTGCTTGCCATAAATAAATTTGATAAGGGAAGAAATCGTTTTAAATTTTCATTCTAACTTTGATGTTGTAAACGAATTTTTATCCTAAATAATGACAGGTATGAAAAATTGATATTATTTTAAATAATTAAAACAATGAATTAATGCGTAATTTTAATCGAAATTAATTAACATCCTAAATAAAGAAAAATATGGAAAAACAAATTGTATAATAAATGGTTGAATTCGCTAAGTATTACTTATTGAAATACTTTTTAGTAAAAAATAAATTTCAAATTTTTACCATATGATCTTCCTCACAAAGCGGTTCACCGCCAACATTATAAAATGCGCTACCAGCAAGTAGTTTGTTACATTCCTTGCAAGTGAAACATTTGATATGAAATGTTTTACCTAAAGCTGCACAACCAGGATGTTCATGATTTATACTTTCACCACATTTATGGCACTTGTCTGAAATTTGATTAACATTAATTTAGCTTACAGAAAGATCTAGCAAAGAAAACTAGCTTAGAAGAATAAACTGCTAATATTTTCACTTATTTTGATGACAACTCTTATCCATATATTTATATGTATATATGTATGTATGTGTGGTATTGTTTAGAATGGATTTAAGATTATAGCATTTAATCAAAGAATATAAAAAATAGAAATTTTTCCAATTTAAAATTTTAAATTCAAATCTTTTCATAAATGTATATTTTATATTTTAGTTTTGTAAGAGATTATAACATTTATTTAGGTCACAATTTCGAAATATTTCATTTTAATTCATTTTTCTCTGTCATAATATTTCCTCTCTCTTTCTCCTTTTTTTTTCCATTCTTTTCCTTATCTTTTCCTTTCTCATATAAAGATATAAAGAGAAAAGGAAAGGAAGAGAATGAAGAAAGGATGAACTTGAAATTTACAACAATTTTCAACAATCATTTTTAGTTTTCAGCGTTTAAAAACTTTAAGAGAATAGGAAAAAAAACGAAAAGAATAGAAAAAAATTTTTGAAAAATGGATAAAATCTGTTTTTCTCTACTATACCTTCAAAAATTTTAATTTTATAAAATGCGAAAAAATTTTTGAAGGTGTAATTCTCTGTGACGTTCTGTGTGGAAAGAAGGTTAATCCGATGATACATTATAATCTTAATTTCTTATTCCGTCAATTACAATCTTCAAAAAGTTAATAATATCGGCTAATGAATCGATATACACCATGTATAAAATGTATAAGCACGGCACAAATACATCATGTCCAATTCATAGTATTAATACCATTATATATATATATATATAATTGTCATTAATAAGAAAATGTTAAACAATAATTTCGATGGAAATATTAAATCGATAATTTTGATAACAATTTTTACAATACTTTTTTTTTTTATTCAGTTATATCAGTTTTATAGTTAATGAAACTAGCCAGTTTTAATTCCGGATTCTTGTTGCTTTTGTTGCGTTGACATTGTTGTTGCGTATAATAACGATAATAATGATGATTATAGAATGATAATGATGAAAAACAAGAAAATGACTTCCAGGCTAACCGTTTCTTTGTTATTGAAACAATCTGACATAAGAAGACTTGGTAGCTTTAATCTAAGTATACTTTACTACATAGTTTTAAACTTGTTTCATTCATTTCTAAAAACAATAGAAGGTGTTGTTAAGACATGAAGAATTCCTGTCCGTTTGCCATCACATATTGATAATATTATGCTAATACTCATTCTCTTTCTCTCTCCGTTTCTTTAACATATTTTTATATTAAATTTTGTTTAATTCCGTGATGTTTGCTCATTTCTCTTTCTCCTTTTCTCTCTCTCTCTCTCTTCCTCTTTTTCTTGAAAAAATAAAACAATCTTTTCGCATTTCAAAACTTAAATGACAAACATTCATTTCAAAAATTCATTTTTCTTAACAGCCGTCTCCTCTTATCCTTCTCCTCTCTTCGACCTTTCAACTATCATATTTTTCTGTGTCATCTATTCCTCCATATTATCATCCTTCTTACTTTCCCCCTCCGTCCGATTTTACTCTTTAATTTTCGATTAAATTTTAAAAGAAATGGAGAAGGAGGAGGAAGAGGAGGAGGGAAGAAGAGGAGGAAGAGGAGGAAAGAGAAGGAAAAGAGAGATGAAGGAGAACGAAGAGAAGATTTGTCAAGATTTGTCAACTATTTGTGAAAATTGAAACATACTCTGCGAGAATTTGAAAGTTAATAAAATAAATAGGTTTACGAAAGGTTTCACTATTATAATTTTATACAAATATATATACTTAATCTTTCTCCCTCTTACCTTCCCTCTCTCTTTCCCTCTCTGTTTCTCCCTCTCCCTCTCTCTCTCTCTCTCTCTTTTATTATCTGTGTTTTGGATAAAAAAGATAAGAACCTATCATTGAAATTACAGAGCAAAACAAACAAAATGAAATTGTTTGCAATTTTAAATTCAGCATTAATAAAACATTTTTTTAATTAATATAGAAATCAAATGACAATTTTAATTGTAATTAAAGAAGCGAAAAGAAAATTTAAAAAGTTAATGTAAAAATTTTTTAGGGTATACTCTTCAGTCTATTAAAATAATATCTTATCATGTGCTATCAATATTACAGCCTAAATTTAATTAAAGAAAGGGAAAGCAATTAACCAGGTGGGCCTAATGGAAAGCTGTTATCAGTAGCTAATTGGACAGGATAAGATGATGAGGTGCTAACTGGATAAGATACCTGTGATAAGTTGTCTAAAAGAATAGTTACTGATTTACTTAAGTAATTTGTTAAGTTATTCTATAATTACACAATTCATGTATTTACCTCCAATGAATATGTGACTAATTATAGAACATTCGATTTATCTTTTACAATTTTCAATCATAAATTTCAATGATTCCCATTAAAAAATGAAGTATGAATGAAAGCATTTCAGAATCAATAATGAAATTTTCATCCGTTCGAAGTATAATAGACTTTCATGAGCAAATTTAAAACACTGAAAAATAATTATGCAGGAAAAAAATTTTTAATTTCGCATACATTTACCAAAATTACCAATACTGCAGAATTCGTTAAACAATTTATTTTAACTCAATTTTAAATTAAATTCATCAGATTTCGATCATATTATACTTTTGCACTCATTTTCATACCTATTTTTATGGCTTATTATCATATGCTTTTATTAGCTCTATTGATTGCTTAATTAATTTAAATATCAAATTAATTTGAAACTTCCTATAATAACGATGAATTAATATGATATTACAATAAACACATAAATGTTTTTAATAGTCTCATTTTCAATATCATATCCTTTTTTTCTCTGTTTTATGCTTATCAAAACTTTTGTTTATTAAAAATGTTTTCATATTAAAATTTAAATTCATTTTTGAAAACGAAAAGAGCGTAATTATCGGAATGTTCTAATAATGTCAATTTATCGTTTAACGTTAATATATAAAATGATTGAAGATGTCAGCAATAAATGATTTTTGATTTATATTACTTAATTTCTAAATATCTAATTGCATTACAAATGCAAAACATCAACCATCGTCATTTACTTTTCATTTATTTTTACTGATATTGACGTCGATCGGCTTCACTCATTTCATTATCATTAATAAAAGGTTAGTCAAATGTCAGNTGTTCTAATAATGTCAATTTATCGTTTAACGTTAATATATAAAATGATTGAAGATGTCAGCAATAAATGATTTTTGATTTATATTACTTAATTTCTAAATATCTAATTGCATTACAAATGCAAAACATCAACCATCGTCATTTACTTTTCATTTATTTTTACTGATATTGACGTCGATCGGCTTCACTCATTTCATTATCATTAATAAAAGGTTAGTCAAATGTCAGCAAAATGTGATATAAGTTAGTAGCAAACATTAAATTTCGTTATAAACATTGATTTCTAGATTTCTAAAATGTTTTCATTGAAAAATTTTGTTGTTGAAAAATTTTTTTGAAATTTTGACATGATAAAACGTTATCGATAATGAACATTTGATATCATCTAATTTATTATCAACAATCAGTTAATTTGATTTAAAAAATGTTGCAATTCATCGAATTAATTGGCATATTATATAATATGTAAATATAAATAATATGCAAATATGTCAACAAACCATTTTTTCTGAGAGAAAGAAATGGATTAATTTATAAAGCAAAGAACCTCTATATATATACATTTATAGTAATCCCGTAAACATGTATATATTATATATAATATTTCTGTAAGCATGCATATGTATAGTATTTTGGTATATATATCGATAAACATATACATGCATGTGTCTGTTTATTTATTCAATGTAAAAAAATTAGCTCCTTCGCAAATTCCTGAATTAACAACAATCATTTGAAATCGTCGTTAAATTATCACTCATATATTTTTTGTGTTACATAGCAATTCCAAATCATGAAGTGATAAATGGATAAGCTTAGCTATGCTAAATATTGCTTATTGATAATCTATAAAGTATTTTCAAAGAGCCGTTATTAGAAGTAATTGTTAAGAATTTTAAGCATAACAAAACTAAAACAATAAATGAAAAAATTTTCTCAAGTGCTTTTATATTTAAATATTGGCATAAATGATAAAGAGAGATTTTATTCTAATAATAATTCTGCTGAGGAAAAAAACAAAAGTAATTTTTCAAGTATTGATAAATTTTTAATCAATAATCCATAAGAAAACTTTATATGGCATTTGAATGAGTTATTTGATTAAAAGCTATCAGAAGAAATGATTATTTTAAATATTCCTATATGTTGTAAGCATGAAGAAGCATTAATAAGTAGATCGTTAAATTTGACAAATAATTTAAAATTAAGAACAAATGAGTACTAAATGGAATCGTAATGCATAAGATGGATTTAATATAACCTGTGGATGATCTAAAGATGGATTCAAAAAACCTACAGACATAAATCCAACATAAAGCAAAAAATTTATCTCAAGATGAGCCCGATATAAAGGTAACATATACATGAATCCGGTATAAACGCAACATACAGATTGATCCGATGTAAACGTAACTTACAGATGAATCTAACATAAATGTTGCCTATGCATGAATCCAAGATAAACGTAACCCATAGATGAATTCAACGGAATGTCTTATGATCTCTTAGCTGTCGCGTAAAATTTCTTCGAAAACACTTACTAATATAGCAAAAATATTTTAGAAATACAGCTTTAAACATATAAAAGTAACTTTTAACGCAAGATGCTGTAGGAGCAAATGCTATTATTTATTTATTTATTTATTTATATTAATTAATTAATTAATCCCTAATGCATTTGTTTCCTTCATCCAATATTTCGTGCGTTACCTATATATTCATCAAATAATACTGTTTAATTTATGTGTCGCATCTTCAAGTAAAATAATATGTTAAATGAGCAGTTATAGAATTGTACCTAAAAATTATATTTTTCTCGCAAAAATACAACCTAAAGAATTTGTTATTAATTTCCAAAAATTATATTTTTTAAGCAAAAATAATACCTAAAAACATTATAATTTTCACGTATAAATAAATAAATTTGTTACAAATTTGCATCTAAAAATTATTTTTTCATGATAAAAATATCCAAAACAATTTGTTACAAATTTGCACACAAAATTTCATTTTTCACGTAGAAACAGGGCCTAAAAAAATTTCTAAAATTTTTTTACCTAAAAACAATATTTCAAAAAATGTTATGTATTTGTACCTAAAAATAATATTTTTCACGTAAAAATATCAGAATAAATTTGTTATACTTGCACGTAAAAATTTTTTTCATGTATAAATATTAAAAAAAAAATTGTTATATATTTGCACGTAAAAATAATGTTTTACACGTAGAAATATCTGGAATAATTTATTACATATTTGTACCTAAAAATCACATTTTTCACATAAAAATACAACCTAAATAAATATGTTACAGATTTCAAAAAATTTATTCTTTTTTACGTGAAAATACTATCTAAAGAAATTTGTTACAGATTTGCATCTAAAAATTATATCTTTCTCCTAGAAGTAAATATTATAGATTTACATCTAGAAAATATGTTTTTCAATAAATAAAAAATTGAGTAGATTTATTTTCGATTATATACACCCATTTTTAATACTTTTATACAATGAAATTTTAATGAATTTAAAAACGATAATTTTGAAAAAAGTCAATTAAAGAAGTTCGTTTGATTTTTTAAGTAAAAAAAGATATGGTACATTTAATTATTTCGCCTTAGTTTCACTACACCTTAATCTTCATTCGAAGGTTAACAATGGCAGAAAATTTTGTACGATTTTTGCTTCTGATTTATATTTATAAAAGTTATTAATTATTTATGAATGAATAATGGATACACTAAATTTCTTCTCAAATCAATTTTTTTTTATATGGACATAAATTAATGATGATAAGTTTGATCTTTTCAACATTAATTATAAACGGAAAGATGAAAAGTCTTACCGTTGCCCCGGTTCGACTTCCTTCCATCGGGACATCGAACGAATTGTTCGTCCAATATCGTCCAGACAGTTGTTGATCCGTTCCGTCTAATCGTCCATTGGATAAATTCTCGATGTCACTCTGTAACGAACGACCGTACTCGATCTTGCGTAAGTCAGCGGCTGTGTGCTATAAATTTTAACAACAGTAAATTATTTCAAATAATCATAATGTGGTGAAAATTCAAATTAAAGAATTGAAAAAGGAATATAGACAAATCTTTGAGTTAATTAATAAGTAAATTTAAGGTTTGAGCATATGGGACATGGTTATTTTTAATCTCGCAACCCTGTCCCTAAACCACTTATGCTGTAAAGATGTCTGAAGTATTGAAAACTGGTCTTACTTTTTTACTATTAATTGGGTGTTGGTTAACCCTTGCTACAAACTTTGTCCTACATGAAAATGAAGGTTACGGTCGATGAAATTGTTTGCGATTAGTTCGTTTATTTCATCAGTAAATCAAGAATCCGGATATCGATAGGTCACTTTCTTGCATTTCCAATTTCCAACTTTTCCTCATCAAATAATTTACTAATCGTCGTTCTGCTATCATCGCAATTCCATCTAAAGAATAGGGAAACTAAAGTTATAATAGTACCTGAGATAGCAGCCTGTTTCGTTGAATTCGAGTTTACTATATTCATGTGAATTTTAATTATTCAAAATTCATTTCAATTTGAAACGATCCAATGAAACTATTCAAAATGCAGTTTATATTTTTATTGCTATTAAATACTGCTAAATCATTAAAAACTTTCATCGCTTTACACTTAATGCATTTGCAGCAACAATACCTTCGCTTCCCACTTACTATACATATCATTTACAAGCTTTTCTAAACAGATCCATTTTTGAATGTTTCATATATTAAATCAAAACATTCACTTTTGCTGTTGTATTTGCATGTGTGCATGGTTTCTACCAATTTTCCATATCCGTATTGTTGCAGTCATTTTTGTAACACTGTTTTACAAATCGATGTAGTTTCATAGCCGAATTCGGGATAATATTTTTTGAAAATACCCTCTTCTTTTCTCATTTCTACATGAAATATCATCGGTACGACTCGATGGTTGTCAAGAGCTTACTATTAAAAGTGTTATATTCACAAAGTTAGCAAATGCAGTTTTTTCCTAATCTCTTACTGGATTATTTTTCCGTTCTGAAATTCACAGTTGCCTGTCACATATGAAGAAAATTACAGTGTGATCAGTTTACAGTATGTTTTAAACAAATAATACGGTTTTTTCAGAAGAATATTATTCCATCCGTTGATCTCACTGATTCTTTTATATACGGTAAAAGAATGATTAAATGCAATTTACGATATAACTCCCAACAGAAACAATAAATTAATTTGTCGAATAATTGCTTGATCTTTTTGATAATAAAAAAATTGAAACGAAAGATAGCAAACTTTTAAATTGACAAAAATATAATCGATTGGAAATTTCACATATTTTATTTAAAAGAAAAAGAGTTCTATTACAAGAATAATAAATGTTTCGAAAATTAAATAGAGAGAAAATGAATACAATTAATTATAACACTCGCTGAACACATAAATGATAGCTGTAAATATGCTGAACGGCCAGTTCTTTTCAATATTATATCAGGAAAAAGCAAAATTAATAAAACAATGGCATACTGTATACAATTAAGCAATACTAATTTTTATGAATTCGTATCATTTCGCTTTCTTTTCAATCAAATTTTTAATTTCCAATTTTTTATATCATGTTTGATAATAATTAATATTGATAAGAAAATGCAATAATTCATTTCGAGTTTATTGATTAGATAGATATCTCATTATGTTTCTTTTATCTGCCATTATTTCTTACTTTAAAATAATTCGATAAGAATGAAAAGAAATGAAATCAGAAAACAGCACTGGTAAATTTGCAGGAATAAGCGGGAAAATTATGCTAATTAGAATGTAAAAAATTAATGGAAAAAGGTTCAATTAAACGTTCCGTTTTTTGATCCGTTTTTTTGTTTTTTTACAAGCTTTCTTTTAAAAACAAATTACATTTACAGCATCGATAATGAATTAGAAAATAGTAATTAAGCATTATCTTAAAAAAAAAGATTAGCTGATTTGTAAGCAGAATTATCGTTTTGGATCATTTATTTTTCTAAATTAAAAAATAGAATTTAAAAAGGAATTAATTAATTAAAAGCAAAATAATTAAAAATAGAAATTTAAAAGAATAGCAATAATTCCCAAAAAAGAGAAAACGAAATTTTGATTTCTTTTCATTCTATTCAAAATTGTAATAATTAATTAATCAATAGTTTTAAGAAATTTACATTTACATAATGCTTAAATTGGATTTAAAAAAGAAATAAAATATGAAAAAATGTTGAATACAAGCGGATTTATTAGTAATTAGCAACAGTTTCAATTTATGCAGCATAGCCATTTATTAATTAGTATATATCAATATATCTATCTATATATATATAGATAGATATAGATATTACCAAGTAATTAATAAGCCTTTCAAAGCATGAAATGGTAGAAAAAAGTTTTGAATCAATTTTTTTTCATTTTTTCCATTATCGTATACATCTGACAGTCATTTTATCGTATCATTCGTTATCGTCGTTTTTGCTTACGATTCTTTCGATAATGCAATCAATCGTTTACCATTACAATTTTTGCAATACAAATGTTCATCCAATGGATAACATCTATAATTAACAAATTATTTTAAACAAAAAGAATAATCATTATATACGTTTTACTAATTTCTTTCTCCATAATTTCGCTCTATTCTTTAAATTAATTAGTGATAATAAAACCTAAAATTAGAATATTTATTAGACTTTATTTAATGCTACTTTAACGCAAATTATATTTAAAAATGCAAAAGATTCATTTTGCTGTTTGCATTTTGCATATTATTATCATTCCTTTTACTCATTGTGTATAAAAATTCATTGAAACCAAATATGCTTTGCATGCAAAAATTGATTGCAGAAATGCAAATGAATAATTTTATATATTAGATTATCATACTGACCGTATACATTTCACCTTTTTGGAACTTTAAATTTCTTCAATTTCAAAATTTACTAATCTTTTTATGGAACTTCAAATTAAAAATTTTTACCCTTGTCCTTCAATTTTAGAACTTAATTGCATGTTACAATCTTCGCATCGATAGCAATTAACATGAAAACTTTTATCCATTGCAACAACTCGCACTGATTCTTCCTGACCTTTCTCGGGTATAATTGGCTTCGAGCATACTGCACACCGAGGTGCAAATTTCCTGAAGAAGTAAAAAAGGAAAGAATAAATAAATCTTTTATCGAAATATTAAATTAAAGTTGTGTGGAAAATAGTTGAAATTTCGATAACTTTTTATCGAATAAAAAAATGATTTTCAGTGAAATTAAAGAAAATTTAAATAAAAAGAACGAACAAAAAGTTAAAAAGAATAAGTTTGAAAGTTTTAATGACAGCCTATTTCTTCGTCGTATTGCTACCATTTTGTTAAAAAAGGAAAAGAAGTATTTAAAAAATTGCTAATTGTTAATTGTCACCAATTACCAATTGTTATATTGCTATTTGTTAATTTGTCAAACATTAAATGCTACTAACCGTTAATGAATGCCAAGAAAAGAATTTTGAATAAATGAAAGCAAAAAAGCGGAAAATATAACAACAAATTGTCTGTTTGTTTGTTTACATAAATTACTATTTAATTCACAAGTAGTGTTTATTTATTAAAATAATTAAATATGTATCACCTTAGGTAAGTTTGCTGTGCAAATAAAGTTTAGGAAAAAATTATTGTCTTTTAAAATTCCATCCCTTCAACAATAAAATGTTTTGAGAGAATAAATTAGTTAAAAAATATAAGTGTTAATTATTCATAGATTACTTTTAACTATAAAAAAGTTCTAAAGAAAATCTTTTCTTTATTATTTACTTATTAAATTTTATAAAGATGACTTACTCATGAAAACAGGTAACGCAATGTACGTTATTAGCTGAATCAGAGGTAAATGGTACTCCGTCCAAGCATTTCTTGCAAACGGTACATACGAAACATTCCGCATGATATGCAGAACCGCTTGCACGTAATATCTTATCCTTAATTGGTTTACCACAACTGGTACATCGTTCTAATGTTTTCTGCAAATGTTTTAAGCTTAAAACTTTATCAATTAAAAAGAATATGCTAAATTATTGAAACAATAAACAAAAATGGTTAATTATGTTGCAAGTAAACAAAAAATATTAGCAACAAACTGTAAACAATTCAATAATTAGTTATAAAATACTTTTTTCTCTCTTTCAATTTTCAAAAATAAATTTTCAAATAAAATTCGAACTTATGTATCAATAAAAAATCACTCTTTTTTAGCTTTATTTTCTTGTGTTTTCTTAAAAACTTCCTTTGACAATAGTATGTAATTAATAATTAAAACAAACTAATTAAATTTATGCAAAAAATTTGTTTTGATTACTCTTCCAAATTGCTATATTACAGTATGCGAAGCAGTAATCCTTGAATAGTAAACTAAAATTATCACCTCATAATCATCCTCACAAAGCGGTTGACCGTTAACATTGTAGAATGAGCCACCAGCAAGTTGTTTGTTGCATTCTTTGCAAGTGAAACATTTTACATGAAACGTTTGACCAAAAGCTGTACAACCAGGCTGATTACTTATGCTTTCACCACATTTTTGGCACTTATCTGAAATTTGACCAAAATAAATTTGGCTTAAAGAAAAACTTGGTAAGAAAATTAGCCTAGAAGGATAAATAGAAGTTATGGTTACTTTTGCTAATACTTATTTTAATAACAGTTCTTATCCATTTATTTATATGTGTATATATATGTATGTGTGGTGTTGAATATTTGCTCGAAATTTTTTAATTATTAGAAACAATTCAGTTTTTATCCAAAATAGTATATGCAAATTTTTCGGGAAAGAAAATATTTTTTAGTAAATTGAGTTGAACAATTTCAGAATATTTTCAGAATTTCAGAAAATTTGAAAAAATATAGTAATTTATTATTATTATTAAATTTAAATATAAAAGATGAATAATTCGATGAAACAAACAAACAAAAAGTTTAAATTTAAATTTCAAAATTGATTTAAAATATTATAGTATTCAATCGTTTCACTTCATGACAATAACTAAAAACATTTATCTCATTAATGATTTCGAAAGAGAGGAGAGAGAGAGAGAGAGAGAATAAAAAAGAGAAAGAAAGAAAAGGAAGTTAACAGATATTATCATATTAATTTCACCAATGATAAAAAAAGCTTATCAGTAGTTAATGTGAAGTTTTCAAGTAGCTCTTTCAAACATATTCTTATCAATTTTTACTTCGTTTTTTCGGTTATTTCATTTTTTAAATTTTGACTAAATTTTTCACACTTCTAATTAGCAGCAACTTGATGTTTTATAAATGAATGATTAACGTATATATAAATAACTAATTATATACATATTCATTATGCATATATTTATTAAATGAATAATATATATAGAATATTTCAATTAGGAAATGAAAAGCTTTAATTGTTTGTCATATATTGAAAATGGAGAGAAGGAATGCTGACATATTTTGGTAATTAACAAGATTAATTTTAAAATAAACAAAATATACCAAAGTAAGCCATAGTATTAAAATTGGTTTGTTGATTTTAACTAATCCCGTTAAAGATTAAAATTCATCACTATACGAAAACAAATTGAAATTCGATAGGAGGAGGTGCAGGAGGAAGATGGAAAAGAAAAAGCGTAAAAACTAAAATGTTCCAGCATGTCCTTTTCAAAAATTTTAAATTAAAGCTATTATTTTAGGCTAAGAAAATTTCTTACTAAAATAACAATTCCAATATTTCATATAAAATTAGCCAATTTTTGTAATTATATTCATTCTTTTTCAAAATCTATTGCTTGAAATGGATCTTAAAAAGGGAATGGTTCATATTTTTTTTTAAAAATTATTATTGAAAAAGGATAAATTATAAGAATTTATGCTATTTCATTTTTGTTTCCTCAAATTTCACTATAGATCATAACGGATTGTTTAGCAATAATTTTCATTTTCAAATCTTCGAGCAAATTTTGAAGCATTCTTTTTTCCACAAATTGAAAAATTATAAAAAAAAGGAATTGAAAGAAAATGATTTCCAATAATTTGAATTGAAAGAAAATGATTTCCAATAATCTGAATTGAAAGAAAATGTTTTCAAATAATCTAAATTGTAAGAAAATAATTTGAAATAATTTGAATTGCATATTCGTTACTTTTTTTAATGCTTACTTCTTTGTAAACTTATTATATTTAAACATAAGAATCCATTCATTTTAAATGTATATATTTTCGTATACACATATATATGTATATATATAATATTTATGTGTATATGTATGGAAATATTTTATTCAACGAAAGATTTCAGTTATGCCCATTGGCATATTTGGTATGATAAGTGGAGGAAATAGCAAAAGTATTCCGAGCATTTTCTAATCAGTTTCGTTAATCTAAAATTAAAATTCTTTAATTAAAAATTCAAAAAAAAAAAGGAAAACAGAAAAACAATGGACGAAATCATTGAATAAGAAAGCTATTAAATTTTATAATTTATTTCTTTTAAATCAAAACTTTTTGAAGCTAACAAAGAGATAACTCAGTTTGATATTTACATAATTATAGTCCAACACATTTGCTTACTTATTTTTTAACCAAAATTTTATCACAAATAAGACATATCAGACAAATGTGATAAGTTATCAATAATGAAAGTTAAAATTTTAATTAATAATAACAATTATAATATAAATTAACCTATTCTTTGTTAGTTTGAAAAAAAGTGGCAGTAACCTAAGAAGATATTTGTGCCAAAAAAAAATAATATAATTAAAAAAGTTTATTAGAATTTTTTTGAAATAATTAACGAAAATAATTTTCATACCTGTCTTTTCCGACTTTTTTTATTATCGTAATTTATTCACAAGAAAAAAAGGAACACCGAGAAATTGGAATTTGAAATGGAATTTGATCGGCTGATTTAAATGACCCATTCGAATTTTGATAAAAACAAGAAATGAATGATAAATTTGAAATGATTGTTAGATATTCTGTCTGATATAAAATGTATCAATGAACTATTTTATCCCGAGATATCCCTAAATTATCGAAATCTCTTCCTAATGTGTTCGAATTTTAGCATACAACAAAAACTTCAGGATAGAAAAATTTTTTTAAAAAATCAAATACCAAAAAAAGGAGGAAAAACATCGATGGAAAAATCTTATGGCTTGAAAAATATTTCGCATTGTTGCAAAACAATTAAAATTTTCCATTTCTTAAAAAAGAAATAGATAATAGATAATAGCTTATCAATTTGATAATTTGATAGCTTATTCGATAGCTTATTTGATAATAGCTTATCAACCGTTTATAAGTATCAGGATCAATGTTAAAGTGTAATATATATATATATATTAAGGTGAAAAAGTTTTCTACAACAAAATTTATTAACCATTAAATGGATAATGATTAGTGATTGATTCTTATACCAAAAGTTATGATAGAATTTATTAAAAGTTATTTCAATTGTTGCTTAATAAGTTTTAATTAGCCTTATGCGTATTAATTACATCTTTCCTTAACTGGCACATAAGTCATTTAAAACATTTCGAAATATGAAAAATGTAAACAACGATCACATGCTGTTAATTGTTCTTTTTTTTTGACGTCAAGTTATCGATAAATCATTCAATGGTTACGGTGTTTAAATGAAGTAAACAAATTGATGACACATCATTTTCTAATAATTATAAACAGTGATGGATCGTTTGCGATCTTCTGAATAGTACTATACATATGCTAAAATATGCAAATATAAACAATTCATTTCCTTTCTATAACTAATTAATCATTCCCATAATTTTGCCTATAAGTTTCATTTTGAACAACTATTAATTAAAATATTTACATATATATTATATATAGTTCAAATAATAGATTAGTTTTACATGATAACATTGAGTAATAATTGTAAGAATTCATTTCATACAGAAATTTATCCATTCATATAATTTCGAATATGATTTTTAGTTCGAAATTACAGTTGTCAAAAAATATAAGCTATGCTATATGATAATAAATGCTACGATAAGACAATCATTAATTAGATAATCATTAACAAATGCAAAAATGAACTTGTTCTACTCAAAAAGAAAGTCCTCAAAAAATGATAAAGGCCTAATTTTTTCCAACTTTCAAAATACGGTAAATTTCAATTTTTTGCAAGAAAAAATTTCCCAATTATTCTCTGTAACAATAAATCATTATTTTGAAATTTTCATCATTCCATCTCGATTCGTTATCATCACTATTATCATATAAATCCCTTTCATCATTATTCAACATATATCATTTTCATTGAAAGAAGCGAAAGGGCAAAAGGTCATTGTGCTATTCTCTGTAACAATAAATTATTATTTTGAAATTTTCATCATTCCATCTCGATTCCTTATCATAATTATTATCATATAAATCCCTTTCATCATTATTCAACATATATCATTTTCATTGAAAGAAGCGAAAGGGCAAAAGGTCATTATGCTATTCTCTGTAACAATAAATTATTATTTTGAAATTTTCATCATTCCATCTCGATTCGTTATCATCATTATTATCATATAAATCCCTTTCATCATTATTCAACATATATCATTTTCACTGGAAGAAGCGAAAGGGCAAAAGGTCATTGTGCTATATATTTTGTGTTATAAAGAAAGAAAAATTTCTGTGTCACATTTTGCGACAAAAACTTTTGAAAGTTCGCTTAAAAGTAACTTATGAAAAAGACATTGAGGAAAAAAATGCCTTTAGAAATGGTTGAATTAATTTCATTTCAATAAGTATTAAAAAACCAGCTGTATGAGAATGATAAACTATTGCTATGTTTTTTGATATTATAATATGCGTAAAGATGATAACAATGATTATATGATAAACTTACAAGTTATGCTAATTAGGATAATGATAAATAAGCTTCTTATCATCCTCATTATTCTACATATTTACGATAATTCATTTGTAACGAAATTAAAGTTTTCAATAACGGTACGAAATGACTGATTAAACTTCGGTTTCTTTTTTTCCATGTATCCTATAATAACAAAAAATTCGCTTATCAGACAGTGATAAGTAACTTCCTGTCATTGTCATAATAATCATGCTATTATCATGCCATTATTATAGTACTATCAAGCTGTCACAATCATTTATCAAGTTTTTTTCGTTTCTATGAATATGAAAAAAATTTCCTACAAATACAATGAAATTACGAATCGACAGATGATATATGTTGAAAATTTTATCACTAATAGTATCTATTTAATCGGAATAGTTGCTCAATCGTGCCTCAAAGTGCCTCAATCGTTATGCTATAATATACAGGAAAACTATTCCGATTAAATGATACTATTAGTGATAAAATTGAAGTGATAAAAATGTATGATAAAATATGAACATATTTTTAAAATATCAAAAGTATTTCGATTGAGGCAAATTAATGGAATGAAATGGAAAATTATTAAATGTACATGAAAATTAATGTCGTAATAGAGAAAAAAAAGGAAAAAACAAACAAACAGGTGATTAATTAAACAAACGAATTGTTCGTATATTTTAAAGTAATTAGTGATTTTAAAGTAATTAGTGATAAAGATAAAACAGACTTTCAACATTTCATGTTTCACATAGGTAAGTGGTCATTAGCAATACCAATGACTATATGTTGTCATTTGAAGTCAAGGATTTTCATAATTTATCGTTATGCTATAATATACAGGAAAACTATTCCGATTAAATGATACTATTAGTGATTGATAATATATGATTGACAATTTTACATTTTGTTGAATAATTTAGATGAAATTTTTTGGTGAAAAATTTATAATAGTACAAATTTCGTATGACTCACCATATCCCGTAAAATTATCAAAATTGTCTAATTAATTCACTTAATGATGGAATATTCCGAAATTAAACCATTTGTTAGATTTTGCTGGATAATTTCAAGCCTCTTTTTCTTCAGTATTCAAATGAACAATTAACCTTCTCACCTTACGACATCGTAGAATGATTGATAGTAAATTTTCAAAATTGTCATTAATTAGTTAATGTTAAACAATAATTTAGATTGTAAATGTTTAGTAACCGAATGTTATTGTACTTATGCAACTTAAAAATTTTTCATTTTCCGTAAACAGAAAATCATATAAACTGAAAACATTATTTCAGATCTAGAAAAGTCCAATAAACTAAAGACATTATTTCGGAAGATCTGGAAAATCTTTCATCTTTTTTCCTTCTTCCGCATTTTCATGGAAAACTAAATAGCATGAATTAAAAAAACAATGGTAAATAGATCTATCAAATAAACCGATCCAGCTCAACTTGCTGCCAGTCAAATTCCATAGAGAGTTGAACAAAAAGGGAGTAAAATCGGAAAACGATGGAACAATAATCTTTTTTTCTACAAAACCATTTTGAAAACAAATATAAAAACATACACTTTTCTTTTTGAAAACTTGCAAATAATAAATTATACAATAACCGAAACTAACCGATAAAATCAAATGGAATTTTAGTTTTCAGGAAATTTGAACAATAAATTAAATTCTGCCTGAATTAAATTTCTTCTATTATTACTATATTTAGGCTTGCTTTTCCTATCATTGCTCTATTTAAGGTATTATTTTACAATGATTATATAACGGAAAATTTGGTTTTTGTAATATAGTCTTGTGTAATTGTGTAGGATTGAAATTTTTGCATGGATTGTAATTAATTTAGTGACTTATATTAACTTAATAACCAACCAGCATTATTTCCGGATTCTTGTTGTTTTTCTTGCGTTGACATTGTTGTTGCGTATAATAACGATAATAATGATAATTATAGAATGATAATGATGAAAAAGAAGAAAATGGCTTTCAGGCTAACCGTTTCTTTCTTATTGAAACAATCTAACATAAAAAGACTTGGTAGCTTAAATCTAAGTATACTTCACTATATAGTCTTAAACTTATTTCATTCAATTTAAAAACAATAGAAGGTGCAGTCAAGACGTGAAGGAATTCCTTCCTATTCGTTTGCCATCGCATATTTATATTAATATGCCTAACACTCATTCTCTTTCTTTCTTCATCTCTCTCTCTCTCTCCTTCTCTCTCCCTTTCAATTTATTTTCATGCTAAATTTTTGTTTAATTCCGTGTTATTCTAAATTTTTAGGAAAATAAATCTTTTCAACACTTTTCTCATTTCTCTTCCTCCCTCCCTATCTCTCACTCTCTCTCCCTCTTTTTCTAGAAGAAAGAGAAAAACAAAACAATGTTTTCAAATTTCAAAACTTAAATGATAAACATTCATTTTCTTAACAGCATTCTTCTCTTATCATTCTTCTCTCTTCGACCTTTCAACTATCATATTTTTCTGTGTCATCTTTTCCTCCAAATCAATCCCTCAGATCATTTTGTTGTTTTATTATCATCCTTTTACTTTCTCCCTCCACCCGATCTTACTCTTTTTAATTTCGATTGAATTTTAAAGGAAATGAAGGAGGAGGAGGAGGAAAAGGAGGAGGAAGAAGAGGAAGAAGAGGAGGAAAGAGATGGAAAGGAAGATGAAGGAGGAAGAAAAGAACAAGGAAACTAAAGTGTGGTAATTTGTTGAGTAATAGAACTATTTTCTGTGAAAATCTGAAAGTTAATTAAAACTTCCTTAAGATTTAAATTGAGCATTGAAAAAACATTTTTAATTAAAATAGAAATCAAATGATAATTTTAATTTAATTAAAGAAGCGAAAAGAAAATTTAAAAAGTTAATGCAAAAATTTTTTGGGATATATACTTCAGCCTATTAAAATAATATCATGTCTTATCAATATTATAGCCTAAATTTAACTGAAGAAAGGGAAAGCAATTAACCAGGTAGGCCTAATGGAAAACTGTTGTCAGTAGCTAATTGGACAGGATAAGATGATAAGGTGCTAATTGGATAAGATACCTGTGATAAGTTGTCTAAAAGAATAGTTACCGATTTACTTATTTAATTTGTTAAGTTATTCTACGATCATACAATTCGTGAATTTACCTTCCAATAAATATGTGATTCATTCTAATACTCTCGATCTACTACAACTTACAATCATCAATTTTAATTGTTTCAACTAAAATGTAAATGAAAAAGTATTTTAAAATTAATAGTGAAATTTTTATCCGTTCAAAGGTGATAATATAATAGATTTTCACGTATAATTTTAAAATATCGAAAAGTAGTTGTTACGCTGTGAAAAAGAATTTAAAATTTGCACATATTTTTCAAAATTGATAATGTTGTAGAATTCTTCAAACAATCTATTTTAACTCAATTTTAAATTGAATTCATGAAATTTCGATCATGTACTTTTGCATACATTTTCATACCTATTTTTATGGCTTATTATCATTTGCTTTATTACTCTATTGTTTGCGTAATTATTTCATTGTAAATTAAATGTCAAATCAATTTGAAACTTCCTATAATAACGATGAATTAATATGATATTACAATAAACACATAAATGTTTTTAATAGTCTCATTTTCAATATCATACCCTTAAAACAGAGAAACTCTGTTTTATGCTTATCAAAGCTTTTGTTTATTAAAAATTTTTTCATTTTAAAATTTGAATTCTTTTTTTGAAAAAACAAAGAGCGTAATTATCGAAATGTCTAATGTTAATTTACTTCACTTATAAATATCTAATTACATTACAAATGCAAAAACACCAACCACTGTCATCTATTTTCATTTATTTTAACTGATATTGACGTCTGTCGATTTCACTCATTTCATTATCACTAGTGAAATATGGTGTAAATTAGCAGCAAACATTAAATTTCATTACAAACATAGATTTCTAGATTTCTAGTGTTTTCGTTGAAAAATTTTGTTGTGTTGAAAATTTTTTTGAAATTTTAACATGATAAAAGATTATCATCTATTGAACATTTCATATCATCCAATTAATTATCAATAATTAGTTAATTTGATTTAAAGAATGATGCAACTCACCGAATTATGTGGCATATTTTATAATATGTAAATATGTCAATTAATCATTTTTTTCTGAGAAAATGAAATGGATTAATTTATATAGCATTATAAAACCTATTTATATATATATATAGTATTTCGATAAACAAAAATGCTTCTTTAAAAAAACCTCTCTCTATTTATATTTAAATTATTGAAGAAACTAAAGGCATTAAAATTAAAAAATCATTAGCAATAAAAAGAACCTCTATCTATCTATATATATATAATATTCCGGTAAATATATATATATATAGTATTTTGGTATATGTATTTCGATAAACATATATGTGCTTGTATCTGTTTATTTATTCAATTAAAAAAAATCGCTCTTTCGCAAAATCTTGATTTAGCAACAATCATTTGAAATCATCGTTAAATTATCACTCATATATTTTTTGTGTTACATAACAATTCCAAATCATGAAGTGATAAATGGATAAGCTTAGCTATGCTAAATATTGCTTATTGATAATCTATAAAGTATTTTCAAAGAGCCGTTATTAGAAGTTATTGTTGAGAATTTTAATGCAGACATGAATAAACAAAAACTTGAAAAATTTTTCTCAACCAGACAATTGCTTTTTATCTAAATATTGCCATAAATGACTGGGGAAGATTATATTCCCAATAATTTTTAACGTAAGATACTGTAGGAGTAAATGCCTATTATTTATTTGTTTACATTATTTATTTATTTAACTAATTATTAATGCATCTGTTTGTTTCATCCAATATTTCATGCGTTATTTTTAAATCCATCAAATAATATTGTTTTATTTATATCGCGTTTACATGATACACACACACACACACACACACACACAACACACGTACACACACGTACACACACGTACACACACGTACACACACGTACACACAACGATAGAACATATACAGCCATATATATATATATTTATATGAGATTCCACTAAGAGAGAATTGAGATATACGTTGTATCATCGTATCATTGAATTCATTTTCTAGTTTCTATACTATTATTGATTGAAAAAGAAAATCCCGTTTAAATCTGCAAATTTTAAAATTCTCATACAAAAAAAGCAAACACTAGTGAATATTTTACCTTCAGTACCAGTTTTTAGCTTCCTTTCCATATCACGAATCAATGAATCGATATGATCGCGACCAAGACGTTCTTTTTGCTAAAATTTGATGAAATTGAAAAGTTGAGAAACTGCAAAAATTGTTGATAGAAGAAGTGAAAAAGTACTACTTATTGCAATAGCAAAATATTTGGACTTTTAATTTTTTTAAATAATAATAAATTCTTTGTACACAGAATTTATTGTATTGTTTGCAATTTACCTTAACTGTAAAAGAAAATTTCAATTTACTTGATAAATACTTTCCATGCTTTTTGGTGCTGGTAGATCGCGTAGTTGCGATTGTTGGAATTGATTTGCGATACGTTGAGTTTTCGTTAAACCTATAATTTTATATACAATATTAGAAATAACAAAATCTCAGAATATTTCTTAATGTAATTAACATTTTTGATTATCGGATGTCAAACATCAAATTTCTCTTAACTTCAATGGAAATCTATCCGATCGATCATTTAAACTATTTCAATTTAGCAATTAATTAAAATTTTTTTAATTCATATTAATTTATCTTGCGAAGATTATATTTCGCAAAAGTGATAGCAAAATATTGAAAAAAAATCAATTAATCACAATTAATCAGTATGAAATGCATTTCCATCATTTTCATCATTTAATTATAAATATAATACAAAATCAATTGAAAAAAAAATCCCCAATTCATTTGATCTTTTGTCTCTTTAATTAATCACTTAAAGAAATTAAAATATGATAATAACAAGTTTAATAAAGAAATAAAATTCCGGAATAAAATACTTTGATCTCGAAGTTCCTTAACAAATTGATAAGATTTATTGATATTACTGTTTGGTATACGTCGTCCTGTATTATGATAATTGTTGTTCATAGAATGATAAGCGTCTCTATCTGTTGAATCCATTACTGTATAAGCTGGTGTTTGAGTTGCATATGCTCGAATATACGATTTTGGATCGGTAATATATGGTACATCATTAGGTATCGTTCCATTGCTGCTTGAAATAAAAGAAAAAGAAAGCTCCATTTAGTGAATAACAATTTAATCTGATTTATACCTAAATTTTAAATTTAAACTTACATATTTGCTTTTATAAAAATTAACCATTTTGATGGATAAAAATTAAATGTTAAATTTAATCTTAAAAAAGTGAAAATATTCAGATTATATATGAACTATTTATTGTTATTTCAAAATTGAAACGTTCTAAATTTGCCCTAAATATTATATTTTTCACGTAAAAATAATATCTTCTGAAATAAAAGTTATAAATATATAGTGACGTTATTGCATATCAGAATTATTTATAATATAAGATAAAATGAGTATTACACGTATACATTATTGTGGTACTTAATTATATTTCCTTTGGTTTGGTACTACAATTATCTTATATTTCAAAATTAACTTTCACCTAATTTATATGAAAGAATTTGAGGCATAAAAGCTAACTATTACTTTTTTTTGTTCCTTTCGCTTTCGTTTAATTTTCTAAATTTAAGCTAACATTGCTTTTAATTTAAGAGTATTACATTATATCAATGTGATATTAAATTTTCCTAATTGATAATTTTTATTATCTCTAATGTAAAATGCATAATTTTAACATATGTCAAACTCAATGTATAAACTACTAACATATTTAATATGCAACGAATTAATTAAACAAGGAGTAATTAATGTGTATAGGTAAGGAAATAGTGCGAATAACTTTCAAAAGTGAATAAATTATCTAATTACCAATTAATGATTACAAATATGCTATCAGTTTTATCCGTTCATATTAACTAGCTGATTAATCGATAATAATTATAAATTATGATAATTTGCATAGGTTTATAAACATGAGAATACATGCATTATCAGATATAGTTAATAAAAAGTGAAATCATTACCTTTGATATTGAGAGAATGAATACTGTTGCTCATTACTGTGATAAGACGAAAATGGAGTAGTTTGTGATTGCTGCTGATTACTGTGATAAGATGAAAATGGTATAGTTTGTGATTGCTGCTGACTATTATGATAAGATGAAAATGGCATAGTTTGTGATTGTTGCTGATTACCGTGATAAGATGAAAGTGGGATAGTTTGTGATTGTTGAAATGTTGACCGTTCAGTAAATGATGTGTTATTTAACTGAAACAATTAAATAATTAAATTATTGTGATATGATTTTTAAAAAAGAAAAAAAAAACAGCTACCACTGTTCCTCTTTTTAACGAATTAGAATAGTTAATAACTTTCCACAAAGTTATTAACTATTCTAATTAAGTTTGAATAGCTAAACAAAGGATGAAAAAATGAAATATTTAACAACAGGTTTTGAAACTTAGTCTATTCTATTGTTTTTAAATTGAAAAAACCATTTAGTCTGTTAAAGAATAATATTATAAATTATTTTCAAAATCCTATAATTAGAAGGTACCAACTACTACGCTTATTCTTTTTTAGCTAATAATTTATATATTAAGTTTTGTTCAAAAATATTCATAAATTGTTAGAATTTTGTTTTTATCGCTTTCTTTCTAAGTTATCCTAAAAATTTATGATTGAATAATGAAATGGATAAAAAGTTATTCTCAAAATGAAGCAATTTTAAATGATTTAATTTTTCAAAAATTAATGATTATATTTTTTTATGATTATATTTATTATATTTTTATTATATTAATATTATTATTTATTTTTATTACATTTATATTATGATTTATATTTATGTTATGATTATATTTTTTTATAATATAATGAATTATTTCGATTTGTTTCTTTTCTAATTTTATTCATTCTTTATTTTCCAATAAAACGAATTATTATCCTTTCTTTGGATGATAATGAGAAATGACAAGAATTGCTTGCGATCATTTGACATTACAACAGAATGAAAAATACAGAGTGAAAAAACTATCGCTAATAAATGACGCTAAATTGATAACGCTGTATCATGAGTTGAAATATTTATTGATGTTTAGATCAATAAATATATATTACTTAGCATCTATTGAACTAATTCGAAATATCGCGAAAACTCTTTGTTTATCGAAATATTAAGAAAATATTTATTTCATTTTACTAACTTTTCATTAGTATCCTAATTTTTAATTTTTAAATCTTTATAATAAAGCACAAAATTTTCGAAACGTTTTATTTCAAATTTATAGGTGAAAAAGAATTGATATTGGAATGGATAGCTTGAAACAAAATCATTAAATATCAATAAGAAGCTAAGAAATACTGAAATGACTTTAATATTTGAAAGTTGAAAATGCTCGAAAGTTTAACAAACAAACTTTAGACTTCGAAAAATTGAAAATGATTTTTACTGTGTAAAAGTTGAAGAAAGCTAAGATTTGTGGAAACAGAAAAAGAAAGATTTTAGTATCTAAAAGTGAAAAAAATTCAGTATCGGGAAGTTGAAGAAGTTTATATTTCTGAACACTGAAAAGGATTTTAGCGGAAGTTTAAAAAACTCTGGAAGTTTATAAAGCAAATGTGGTGGTGAAGCGTAGATGATTAATGACAGCTTATGTCAGTTTTAATAAGATAAAAAAAATAAAAAATGAGCAGATTTATTTTCAATTGTATACACCCATTTTTTAATACTTTAATACTATACAATGAAATTTTAATGAATTTAAAAATGGTACTTTAGAAAAAAAATCAATTAAAAAAGTTTATTTCGTTTTTACAAGCAAAAAATTTTATGATAAATTTAATTATTTCATCTTAATTTCACTAATCATTTCATTTCTGTGATAATGATATCAGTAAAAATGGTAAATAATTAGTGATAATTGTAGCTATAATGCAGTGATATTATAATTTAATTGATTTGTTTTAGTGCGAACAAATTCGATCAATGAATCCGTTCGTTGGTTAATTCAATCATTCGAATTGAAAATAAACCATTTCCGAAATCTGATTATAGCAACTAATACAATACTTTGCCGTGATTCTGATTACTAATATAAATAATTCGTAATGGAAGAAAAGAATTGGATTTAAATATTTTTTCATGAAGGCAAAAAATAAGTAGTAACGAACCGTATCGGAGTTTCGATAAACGTTCCTGACCGGCATAAAGTCACGGGTATCATTGGGCGAAGCATGAAACTGGAAGTGAAGAAGTAAACGAAATTTTTACTAAACAAGAAAAAAAATGATATACCATAAATTTTACACCTTAATCATCATTAGACGGTTAGCAATGGCAGAAAATTTTGTAGGATTTTCGCTTCTGTTTTATAAAAGTTATTAATTATTTATGAATGAATAATATACACTAAAATTTCTTCTCAAATCAATTAATTTTTATATGGACATAAATAAATGATGATAAGTTTGAACTTTTCAACATTAAATATAAACGGAAAGATGAAAAAGTCTTACCGTTGCTCCGGTTTGACTTCCTTCCATCGGGACATCGAACGAATTGTTCGGCCGATATCGTCCAGACAATTGTTGATCCGTTCCGTCCAATCGTCCATTGGATAAATTCTCGATGTCACCCTGTAACGATCGACCGTACTCGGTCTTGCGTAAGCCAGCGACTGCGTGCTATAAAATTTTTACAGCTAATTTCAAAAGTTGGAAAAGAAGATAACTTTGATATTGCTTAGTTCTTGTTAACTGAATATGCTTAAAAATATTTTATGAATCATCAATATAAGGCATATTTAAATCAAATAATAATGCAAAAGAAATTTCGATGAAATTTGCTTTTCCTAAGAAACTATTAAAATAAATTAATTAAAACTAAATAAAATTAGTTAAATAAATTTTACTCTCGATAGTTACCTGTAGAAATTCTGAATAAATATTGTTAATAGCAATTAATTATTTTGATTAATTATAATGTAGTAAAAATTCAAATTAGGCAAAAAAAATGGTATGAATAAATGTTTAAGTTATTAAGTAAATTTATGTTTGGAAAATTCAATTACTGAAAGATTAATTACCTGTAATTAAACAATTGACTAAATATTTTAAGAAAATTGCGAGCATCGAAAAGAAAAATATAATAAAATAAAATGCATTAATTACCTGTAATGTCTTAGCGTCCAGCCGGGGAGTGGTGGGCTTGGGCGACGCTAAAATTAATAAAATATTTATTCAATAACATAAAATTAAAGGAAATGTTTCAGTAAAGAACGATAATTTTTCGTTCGAAAACTCGGTACCAATTATCATTTATCATTTAAGTGATAACTTAACATATAAATATTTAATTCAAATAATTTCTGATAACAATAATTTCATTTGAAATTATATTTTTACAATAATTATACTTTGTAGTAAAGGAATAAAATCGAATCACAAACCAGATATGGTAGAACGTGCTTGTCGGTTACTATCGGTTGATGGCCTCCAGCTAGACGATAAAAGCGACGACTTAAAAAACGAAAATTAATTTCAAACATTTTTGATATATATATATATATATATATTCATTTATATTTTAGTATCAAAAATTATGATAATCATCGTATTATATGATTATCATAATATAACGAAATTATAATATAATGAAAAAAATAATGAAATTATCATAATATAATGAAATCATAATATAATGATCGTCATAATATAATGAAATCATAATATAATGAAAAAAATAATGAAATTATCATAATATAATGAAATCATAATATAATGATTATTATAATATAATGAAATAATATAATGAAAAAAATAATGAAATTATCATAATATAATGAAATAGATTATTCGAAAGTTCATTTTCTTTTTTAGATTTTTTAATCAAAAATATTTTATCAAATGATAAATTTTAATTGATAAATAACAATATGAAATTGCAAAATGATACGGTAGACTGTAAAGGGGGTGGAGGAGGAGGGATTGGGGGCGCATCCATTCCTCAGCGTACGTGTCGCGAATATTGGCGTATGAACGACTTCTACGTTTTCCAATTAATCTAAAATTAAATAAACAAAAAATGTTATGTTTTGAAATTTCAAAATAATTTGTGTAATTGAAAAATCACAAATGCGCAATTTTGCTTCATTATTTTTTAATAGCTGAAACGTCATATTATCACGATAATATAGTTATTATCATAATAGATTATAAAAGCATAAAAAAAATTATTAATAATACATAACTGTGGCAATTAATATCAATTATTGATGACAACGAAGTTGAAAATGAATAGAATTATCGGTTCATCAAATTCTATGTGAATAACTAATTTTAAAGTTAAATTTGCCCTTAAAAATAGGAAGTCCGTTATTTAGCAAATACTTAGTTAATGTTTGAATCATTTACAAATTTAATTTGCTTAAATTAATAAATTAAATTTAGGAGAAAAAAAAAACTGAAATGTAAAATAAAGCTAATTAAAATTGTTTTAGTCAAGTGATGAGACATTTTTCGATACTAAAGTGGTCAACAAAGGAGGAGGTGAGTGAATTATTGCACAATGGCTGAACGAACGGAAACGAGCCGATCAGTGTTTCAATAAAATCAGTGAACTATGCTGTTTTCAAACCGGTTATGTCAACTTTTCCGTTTGATAGATTATACGATTGAAATTGAAGTTGAGCAGCATTCTTTCAACAACGAATGAAATGTGAATAAAATTAGAAATTTAAAAATTAAAAAAAATGAAATATAACAAAAATACATCAAAACGACAAAATTTATTTGAAGTAAAAATAAAAGCGTTTTAAAGTGCTAAATTTTTTGCATGCTAATAATAAATAACATTAACTATATGAAAGCTTCGGATAATAATAATTGACTATATTATAGTTATGTATTATATGACTTATTACAGTTATATTATATTATAGTTATATATAATAATTATATATTATCTTATTATGACTATTATATTATGCTCCGCTATTGCTACAACTGTTTTAAACTACTAATTCAAATTTTTGAAATATGTTATTAAATTTTGTAAAAACAATTGCTAAAATTTCTACAAATTACTGATAGAAAAATTTATTCATCTTCTGATTAATTTTTCCAACTTATCAATATTATCAACTTAATTGCTTGAAAATTTGAATTACTTTTACTCTTTCCAATTAAGCATATAATATTTACAGTTTGAAGAAGGAATTGAATTATGAAATTATATAATATATATTTATTATATAAATTATATATACACCCAAACATGTTCGTCCATTTTTGTGAATTTGAATTTTTTAATTATACCGCAAGTTGGAAATTATAAAACGAAATGCATTTACAAAAGAAGAAAGTAAATATATGTAATGAAAAATTCAATATGTTCATTTTCTTGAAATTTTTAATTATATTGGAAATTAAAAATAATAAAAGGAACTTAAAATGAAATACATTTATAAAAAGAAAAAGGTAAACATAAATTATCAAAAGGTTTTTTTTTTTAACAAATAATTTTGCTAATTTATAAGCAATTTTGATAAATGCTAAAAAAAAAAGGAACAGTAAGAAGAACTTACGCTGGAAAAGGTTGTAATTGTAGTGGTGACAGATAGCTACTCATTATTGTTGCATAAACATTAACTTATGCACCAATCAACCATACAAGCAATCACACACAATATTAACAACGTTTAGCAAATATCACTGCAACTATTCGTAATCGAAAAGAGAAGCAGGAAAATGTGTAATAAAAATTGTATACATTTTAGCTTTAAAAACTTTTTCTATTGCTTTCTAACATTTTCAATCATTCAAATTTATTTTCAATTTCTATTAGCTAAAATATTTTACAATTTCTGCTTCTAACATTTCCGTTTACTTTTCTCATTTATTCAATGATCTTTTTTGTGAATCAATGCTATACGATTGAATTAGTTCGGTTTAAACAAAATGATAAAAATAATGTTTTAAATGATAAAATTAGTTTATTAAAATAAAGGATTTATTAGTACTACGAAATGAACATTTGATGATATGAAGTTTAACAGCTGATAATTTAATTTATAAGAAGTAATGAAATCGGCATGTGTATGCGTGTATGTATGTATGTGTATACGTGTGGGCGTTTGTGTATGTATATGTGTGTGTCTGTGTGCGTGTATGTATGTATGTGTATATGTGTGGGCGTTTGTGTATGTGTATATGTGTGTGTGCGTGTATGTGTGTATGTGTGGTTGTGTATGCATGTATGTATGTGTATATGTGTGGGCGTTTGTATATGTATATGTATGCGTGAGTGTGTGTGTGTGTGCGTGTGTGTATGTATGTGTGTTTGTGTATGTATGTATGTAGTATGTATGTAGATATCACTATTACACTTTTACGATTGAGCAAAGCGTTCGATTGTAAACATAGTTGATAAGTGATAATTATGATGACGAAGAAGTAAATGAATAATCGGATTTATATAAGTAATAAATGAATAATCGGATTTATATAAGTAATCGAATAATTGAAATTGTTGATTTAATAGTAATGTTTTAGGGAATGCATATTATATAATATGATATTGTTGCTAATAATTTGATGATGAAATTTAATTAGTAAACAATTGAATAGTTAAAAATGAAAATTTTAATTGAAACTAATTTAATTTTCAACTTTTTAAACATTCCTTTCTTTCTTATTCTTTTAGTAACGAAAATTTATTAATTAATTTCTTTCTTTTTATGTAAATTCGATATAAATTCGATGTGAAAGGATTGAACTGTAAATTACTACTTAATATAACTCTTTACTATTTCTTTTGATACCAAAATTTCATTGTTCATTTAGATATAATTAATTTATTTATTTTACAAATTTAGTTATTTGTTTGAGCTCATTTTATGCCTAACAATTTATAAACAAAATGAGAAATATATAGTAATTTAAATTTTAAATCGAAATGAGAAAAATATAGTAATTTAAATTTACATCAAATTTAATTAAAAATTAGGTTATTCGCACGAAAGTATTTCAAATTCAATATTATATACATATATCCTTCAAAAAAAAATTCACTCATACGATATATGAAATAGTATTTTGAATTTTATATGATCAATTTTTTATCATGAATGATTAGTGATTAACAAATAGACAATAAATATTTCGAATTATTTAAATTTCAATTACAATGTTTTTCGTGCTTTAAATTCCAATTCCAATGTTATTCGTGCTTTTAAACTAAAATTTTTTACATTTTAAACTGCAAATTCTTACATTTTAAACTTTATTTTAAATTTGTTATTCGCAACCTTGTATGTCAAATTTATATTATGCCGGTTTGGATGAATATTCAGATGAAAATAAGCAACAAAATATTTTGTATGAAAAAAGCTTAAGCGATAGATACGTATGTAAAATAGCGAAAAACAAAGTATGCTTAATATACTCTTTCAAAATTTATATTCTTCGAAAGTTTTTATCAAATAATTGATACAGAATATTTTGGGAATTAGAAAATCATAACTTAAATTTGTGATTAATTACAATCATCAAAATTATTTCGATGCTCAAATATATTATATAATTAAAATTTAAAACTATATATTCTAAAATTGAAATGAAAGAATATTTTCATTACTGTCAAAATAAGATGATCATTTCTTTTCTGTATTTTCTATTTTATGATCGCCATGAAAAAAATTAGCAATTCGTTTTTATTATTTTCTTGCAAAATTCATTCCATAATAATTTTTCCTATTGTAAACTACAAAATAAAAAAAGAGGAAAAAGAAAATGATGAAAATATTTCATCAAAAAAAGCAAAATGAAATTTAATTTCTTCGTTATACGAAGAATAAAAGTGAAATTATTGTATGAATAAATGAGAAAAATTTTTTTGAAGGAATTTTGAAGGTAACTAAGGTCAATAAACTTTAAAATAAATGAAATTACTAATGAAGAATTGAAGGGTAAGTTAATAAATTGCAAAAAATTAATGGTAAGAAAGAAAATTTTCAAATTAATAAATTTAATTGAAAATTTTTTTCCAACTTTATTAGTCAATAAATTAAATGTGATTTTTCGATATGATTAAAACTTTATAATATGTAAAGAAAAATCGATGAAATAAACAGCGAATTGTATTTATTCAAATTTTTACTTCAAATTAATTTTAATAAAAATTAATAATTTTTAATAAAGCATTAAAGGAAAATTTTATAGTTTACTAGTATAATTTAATATTAATAAACTATAAAATTTACTAATATAATTATAAAATTATCGAACGGATTTTTTTGAAATAAATTTGGAAAAGATTTGATAATTTTTTTAAAAAAGAAATTCGAAAAATTAAATATATTTTTTGTAATTCTTGACATAGAGAAAAAATTTTGAACTGATATGATAATTTATGAGAGATATTTCAAATCACAAGCAACAATGATAATTTGATAAAGATTATTAAAATTATGATATGTTAAATATCTATTAGAGTACCATTTTATCTCAATCATAAATTATTGACAATTTCATGAGGAAAGAAGGAAAAAAGATTACGTATCAACATATTATTATTATTATTATTATAAATGCAAGGCATACCAATTAGTTAAGTATTAAATGTTATCAATTATTGTATTTTTACTATTCTGTTTTTTGTTAAGTTATCATTTGTTATCATTGTGAAATAAAATCAACCTATATAGACAGCAGAATTATTTCTCCTACAATTGTATTATTCTAAATTTGAATAAAACAAAATAACATATTGAAGTATAATAATAATTAGTGAAGAAATGATGAATCAATTAAAAATCAGTAATTATGGCAATTAATAAAATTAAGAGAAAAATTAAAAACAAAATATATAAATATTATAATTTCTGAAATTAATAATTACTAAAACTCATCTTAAGAAAGGTTGGAGAAAAATTTGCAACCGAAGATTTTAATTATAGTTATACCGCTGATATTGCTAATCAATCTGTTAATTCGAAATACTTT